TTCATGGGTGAAGGCCCGAAGGCTGGGAAGCCACACGCGCCAGTAATTGCAGTCTCCAGACTGAGACTGCAACCTGCTGCCACATCCCATAAAAGCCGCACGCCTTGGCGCAGCTCTTTGAGATGTGACCGGTTGTGGGCTAGTAACAGGAGCTGCGCATGCACAACCGACCCGAGAGTCTTGCGCCTATTGCAGTGTTGCACAAGACTGGCGGCACCTGCCAAGTTGATTGGACATGAACAAGCAAACAGATGAGCTTCCAGATGCGCTGAAGTTGGCGAATCTTCCAGCTCCAGACATGCCCACAAACAAAAATCACCTCGAGCCTCGACCCTCGCGCGCATGCAACGTTCCCACAAGCAGATGCGCATGCGCATGCGCGCGCGCGCGCGCGCGCCGGCACAAAGCAAGCAAGAGCACCCAGAAGCTTGCGAACATTGGCGCGGGTGCGACACGACAGTCCTCCCTGGCGTGGTGGCACGGTCCATCCAAGGCCATGCCAGATGCATCACTTCAAACCGACTCCGGCCGAACCCCCGACTCCAACTCGTGATTCTGTTATGCCAGGCACCGAAACCCGGAAACAACTCGTGTCCCGAGCCTTTCAATTCCACAGCCGCCGCCCCCCAGGCCCTGTTCCACCCCAAGCATCGTTTGACGCTTCTGATGAAGCCGGACGATGGACGTAAACGCAAAATCAAGCCAAATTATGACGAAAGGACACCTGACCCTTCTGCAGCTGCAAGGCTTTTGGAGCCGGGAGCGCTCGCGAAAGCAATGAAGAAAAAACACCAGATATGCAACTTACTGGCCTCCAGCCCAAAGCCTCTCATCTCAGCCATGACTTGGAGTGCCCATTGCCAGGCAGACTTGCTTCCATCGGGCCTCAGCAGACCGCAGAGGCTTCCAAAACCGGATCGCACATACAGAGTCGAGTCCGGGAGCCGGCGTGGCCGTAGCAAGGCGCACCATCGCCGCCTTTGCAGTGCAGCCCCCACGCTCCACGGCGCTATCCTTCCCCAAAAAGTCTGCGCAGGTCTCTTCAAGTCGAAGAGCAGCTTTAAATGTGGGATGTTCCCTTTATGCTAACAGTTACGAACAGTTACTAACATTCCTCATTACAAAAATACCCCCTATTCTAATCCCTATGAAGGACTGTCAGTATAAGGGGGAACATCCCAACTTTAGATTCTTTAGATGGCCCAAGGTGCTTCATGGATGCTGCCCGTCTTTAGGGCGCGCTGCAGCAGCGTCGTCCTGAGAGCCGCAAATGGATAACGACTTACACACTCAGGTGTCTGAGGGGGACGCATGGAAACATCGGGCAAGCATGGTCAATCTATGATGGGCGGAGGAAATATGCAGACCGGGTTCGAGCGCCCTGGACCTTGAAATCCTCTGCAACTATCTACGAAGGGACTTTTGTTTCACACATGTTATGTATTTATAAAGATTTGGTCGATTTTGGGATTCTGAGCAGCCCGACGCTACTGGTTTCTGCGCAGCTTGAGCTGCGGCCTCAGCACTTGCCAAACTGCCGAGTGTAAAATCACGCGCAACGTGCAGACATCAAAGAGGTTTCACATGCTTTATCCGTGGCTCTAGAGATGTGGAGGCCAGTTCTGGTACTCTAAACTTCTTGTACACCGCATCAGGGCTGTCTCGGGTTTGCTTGCGTGGGCCCGATGGAACCGCGTCTCAGTCTCGGTAATGCTGGGGGATGTGAATCATGGAGTTGGCACGTTTGGAACAAAGCACTGGTGCCAACCTCCCCCCCCCCCCACCCTTCGAGCCGGCAATTGCACCGCTACAGCTGCGAGAAGCGGATGAAGCGGAAGGCGCATTGGCACGCTTTGAGCAGGTTCAGGGTTTTGGGTTTTGGGTTGATGCTACTGCTCGGCACAATACTGGTAGCTGCGCTCGCCCTACTGCCCCACTGGGCTCTCTGTGGCCCAGGCTGCAGCAGCCATGGCCAAGGCACTGCCTGATGCCGAGCCCAGGCGAGCCTGGAGCATGTTGGCCAACATCGTCAAGACTGGTGCAACTTGTTGGTACCTAAGTGCCTGCTGTACCTGGCAGCTACTGTCAGTTGCTGTAGCATGCCTGCCTGCATCGTCTCCGTCAGCGCCAGGGCCATCGCCCACTGCTTGGCGTCCGCGGCCGCACCGACTGCCACCTCAGAGCTAAGCTCTTTGCTATTGGTTCACCGACCATCGTGTGCTGCGGCAAACGCCCAACTTGGGATGTTCCCCCTTATACTAACAGTCCGTAAGAAACAGGGACAACAGTAGCCCTATTATATTTCCGTAATGGTCCCCCTTATACTAACAGTCCGCAGGAAATAGGGACAATAGTAGCCCTATTATATTTCTGTCATCGTCTAAACCCTCAACAAAGGAACGCTTGTGTGCTGCTGTTGGCCGCCTCAAAGGCCCTCGTGTCCACGTCACGGGCCGACAGGATCATGTCCACGGCACGCTGCCACCTGACAGCTGCTGCGCCGAGTTCCACTCCCAAAGGGTTTAGGGTTTACGGTTTCGGGTTTAGGGTTTAGGGTTTAGGGAACTCAAGACCCATGAGTTCAAGCTGAAGATGCTTGTCACCGAGGTGCTGCTGCAATCTTCCAAATTGTGCTGCAGCGAAGGAGAGAGCTCCAATTCCTCTGCACATCAGCAGCCATTCAACTCTCATTAGAGCCAACGTCGATATTAACGCACAAATGCCAACACTACCTCTACTGCAACAACATGAAGTCCATGAAACTTCCGGATTATGAAAACATCCACAGCCGGTAAGCGATGATGGTTTTCTTGGTATGGCACAGAGGTGCTGAACAATTCCATTCCGTGGAAACCGGTTCGCTTCGAGGCCATGTGCAATGGTCTATAATGTCCCTTCTCGTACAGTAACTAGCAACGTCCGATCATTTCGGCAAATCTATTCCCTGCGCCAATCGATTCTGCTGCAGCTTCTGAGCGTGGGCGTGTGCTTGTGCGTGTGTCTGCAGGCGTGCGTGTGCGCGTGCGCGTGTGCGTGTGTGCCTGTGTATGTGTGCGTGTGTGCATGTGTGCGTGTGCGTGTGCGTGTGGGTGTGTGTGTGTGAGAGAGAGAGAGTGAGTGAGTGAGTGAGTGAGTGAGTGAGTCAGTCAGTGAGTGAGTGAGTGAGTGAGTGAGTGTGCGTGTGGGTGTGTGTGAGAGAGAGAGAGTGAGTGAGTGAGTGAGTGAGTGAGTGCGTTAGTGAGTCAGTGAGTGAGCGAGTGAGTGAACCAATAGGGAGGAAATCATGATCAGGCCGTGCGCTCCGGCTGAGGAGATGCAAACAGTCTGCCTAAGTCTGCCTACGTCTGCCGAATCGATAATGTCCTGGCTCCCTGCTGGAACGCAGCTTTACCATGTACCTCCGTAGCAGAATGCATCACCCTCTGCTTGTTTGATGTCCCATGCAACAAGAAAAAGCACGACATGACCATGCAGGATCATTGGAAGACAATTGCCCAATAAGCATGCCTCCATGCATCGTCAGGCGCAGCAGAAGCCATTGCCATGAAAGCCGCATCGGCGGCAGGTCCCTCGGAGTTTCAGAGGGGACATCATACTAATGAAAACCGCGGACTTCTTGGGCTGACGTCCTACCTGCCATTGCAAGTGAGCTTCATCCAGCTTCAGACTCGCATCTCGAGCTTGCCTCACCACACGTTCCAGGCATCGTGGGTGCCAGTTGCTCTCCCTATAAACCACGTCGCCATGCTCCGCCTCTTTACACTTCTGCCGAGGAGCTCCAGAACTTGCAGCGCCAGCGACCATCCATGAGGACATCGCCGGGCCGCGACCAGGGCCGCGCCTAGTTAGCAAATGCGGTGGTGGGAGCCGCTTCAGCCCCGAACAGTCCATACAGTCCATGACATGGGGGGTTCCCGAAATTAGGGGGGGGCGCCTTCTTGGGGTCCTCATGATAAGGGAGTCCTACTTTTACCTACCATGACTCATTCAGATCCCCATAAAGATTCCCTGCCAAGCAGCCGCAAACAGCGACGTTCGGCTCCGGAGCCCAGTCCCGCTGGTCTGCTGCTCGCCAACGACAAGCAGCCAAAGCGAACTCCACCGCCTGGCTCCACGCTCCACTCCGCTGCAGCTGGCTTAAGGGACGTTTTGTAGGAGGGTTTAGGCTTTAGGGTTTAGTGTTTAGGGTTTAGGGTTAGGGTTTAGGGTATCTGGGCCTCTTGATACAGGCCCTTCTTGGACAAGAAGCCGATGGCCACAGTGACCTGGCGGAGGCCGACATGGGCCGACATCATCTACCTGGCCATGCTCTTCCCATCTCAGCCTCCTTTGCGGCCCGGAGCACTTTACGCCGGAGCAGCTTCGGCAGCAGAGCCAGGGCCTGCGCAGGAGACTCTACACAAGTGACCGTGAAAGCGGCAGAGCTCTTCATCCCCTATGGGCCCTGTGATCCCCCAGCCTCCTCATTGGAGATAGAACGCTCTTGAAGCCTTGCCAGGAGCTTGCGTGCCTGCCCAAGCGAGTGAATCGGCTGAATCTTCCTCTGCAGTCGCTCCAGGCCTTGGGATTCGTGATGCGCCCTTGGGCCGGCGCTCGGCTGGACGAAGCTGCGCAGGTCGCTTGGGTGTGAAGGGCTCTGAAAAGTCTCTGAGTCGCATCATTTGGGACAAGGGCTTAATGTGGCAGAACGACCAGGACACGGCCCTAAACCTAAAACTGCTCACCTCCACCTCCCCTGGAAGGTGCCGCGGTCAACGGGGAGCGCAGCTCCATGGCTTCGGCCGCACATGACCCCCAAAGACGGGTTCCCACAGCCGTGGATGAGCGGCTACTGTCCTGGTTATTGTGTGCAGTGTGGCTTGGGCTAGCGTAGGTTTGCGAAGGTGTCTTGCCTGACTCCAGACTCTCGCGCGAGAGCCTTGCAAAGTCAACGCAGGTGATTCCCGCCAACAGAAAGCACAAGGGGATCAAGCACGCTCCGTCAAAGTCATGGGCCTCGCCTGCGGGCGCTTTGACTTGGCTGCCTCCGCATCTGCCTGCATTGCATGTGCGAAAAGCCAGGCCGTCTTGCCCTGAAAGGTCAGGCATACGAGGTGACAGAACCAGGCTTTAGGCCTAGAAGACATCTTGAGATTCAAGGGGGTGTGCCATGTGCGTCCTTGCACCATGCTATGCCATGCTGCAGTGCCTGCAGGGCAGCCTCTCGGGCCAGTTCCAGACCGGCCTGCTGCAACGGAAGCCGCCACCACGCCATCCACCACGCCACCATGTACGTGTCCCCACTTCAAAACGATCTAAGGAGGCGCGAGGCTGCCTCCAGCTCTGCAACCTGCGCCTTCAGGACAGGTACCTTCACGCAGCGTGCTTCTCCCAGAGCTCCGGTCTGCAACAAGTGCAGCGCCTCTGCGGCTTCCGCGCTGAGGCGCTTTGCCTAGTGAGAGCGTGCAACAGAATGGGCGTGCTTGGCGTGCTTGAGGTGGGAGCAGGGAAGTTTGACCTCTCAGAGCATCGTGGCCTCGCTGCTGTGCGCCGCCACGGTCGCCTCGGCAGCGGCAGCGCGCCGTGCCTGGAAAGAGCCGGGCAGGAGCAGAAGGGGAAAGAAGGGGAGCGCATCCCTCTGTGGGTTCTTGCGCCTCTGCTCCGCGAGCCTCTTCTGCCGCCGACAGCTCCTGAGAACAGATTCTTGGGTTTCTGAGGGGGCGAACCCAGCCACGAGGCTTGCCTCGGCATAGGTGTGCTGTCACTAATACTCTGCAGTACAAGTCGCCAAGCATGGTAAACAGAAGTGGTTCCTCTTGGAGCACCCAAAGCCGGCAAAGTCCATCTATTCTTGCGTAAGTGGCCCCGATCTTGTTGGGCTTAGGGTTTAGGGTTCAGGGTTCAGGGTTCAGGGTTTAGGGGATGACCCAGGCCCCGGCTTCACGGAGGTGCTGCAGCTCCGCCCTGAGCTGCGCCGTGGAGGTCTGCTCAGCCTGGAAGCAACTCAACTTACTGTTGGTTAGCAGGGAATGGGGGAATGCGAGCACTATGTACATACATACATATATATATATACCCTTTAAGGGATTATGATAGGGTACCTAATTCCCCCCTACCCCGTCCCTACTAACCAACAGCAAGTGAATAGTGGGTGACGCGGCGTTCGCATCGGGACAGCTCTCCAGATTCTGCTCCCTTTGTCCGGGGGTTGCGCTCGAATATTTGTGGGGTGCATCAAGACAGGGGCCATGATTTAAGCTGCGGTTTGGTGTTTAGGCTTTGAGGTTTAGGGTTTAGGGTTTAGGGTTGAGGGTTTGGGGTTTGGGGTTTGGGGTTTGGGGTTTGGGGTTTAGGGTGTAGGCCCATCTCAGGCTCAATTCTTCGGATGCCCTCCCTGCCTCGGCACCGGCCTGCCTTGAAGCCAAGTCATCCTTCAGCTTCTCCTCAGGGGACACTTCACCCAAGCGCTTACCAAGCTTCTCTGACCCTAAACCCTAAACCCTAAACCCCAAACCCTCAACCCTAAACCCAAAACCCTAAACCCTAAACCCTGACCCTAAACCCTAAACCCTAAACCCTCCGGGTTCCGGGCGACTTGTCTTTGAAGGCTCGCCTTCTCAGCCTTGGCACCTTCGAGCGCCGCCTCGGCCTCTGGAGAAAAACGCACCCACTATTGAATACAACTGAAATGTTATATACTTGACTATCATTTATATATGACATATTCTATATGATGTATTCTCTGCTATGTACTATACGTGAATTATATGCTATCTATCATCTGTTTCTATGTTTTTGCATGTTTATCTTTTCTATTGAGCGTATATTGTAGCCCGGTTTCGTTTTGAATCCAGATGTGGCACCTGCTGCCACGCCGCGGCCTCCGCTGATCTGAGGCGCTCTGCCTGCGGAAGAGAGCGGTACCTAATGAAGGGCCGACCAAAACACTTTTGGTGGCTTTGTTTGGAGCCTTTCTGTTTCTAAATACTTGCAAAATAGGGTTGGAATGGGTCCGCTGCAGTTTCTGGATTTCATCAATGTGGCAAGAACGCAGCGGGTCTTTCAATCCTTTGACCACATACATATATGTATATATACACACACCTTCTAGCTTAGGATCCCAAAAGGGCTGATCACTTAGCGTGGATCAACTCGGTCACGCAGTCTGCAAGGAACGGTTGCTGGCCTCCTTCTGTCTTTGGACTGCCTGCGCAAGAATATGCTGTCATGGTCGCCCTTTTAGTACTAAGCCGACTAAGCCTTGCTACGCCCGTCACATCACAAAAAGCACCTGCTAAGCAACGAACCAAGGCAAACAAAGAGTTCGACTCGTGCGCCTGTGCGCTGCTCTGGTTCGTGGCTTGCAAAGCTGCCTCATGCGCCACCATGTTCTGATACAATCTCATACAATGATTCCGGCACTCATTGAGGATTCCTGAAGCTCCGAGCACCGGAGTTCGCAATGTCATGAGCCCTCAGGAGTGCGCCTTTTGCTCAGCAACTTGGCTCTGAAGCTCCGCTACCTGCAAGCAAAAGACCAAAAGACAGGAGGGACGAGGACCCCCTAAACTCCCTAAACTCCCTAAACTCCCCAAACTCCCCAAACTCCCCAAACTCCTCAAACTCCCCAAACTCCCTAAACTCCCCAAACCCCCTTGCACCGTTTGTTTGTTCAGCAGGCCCCGCCAGCCTCAGCCTTGCTTCGAGCCAACTCCTGGCAGCAAGTAGGGCACATACATCGACTGCCCATGATATGATGATTAGTCTACTATGTGTAGATTATTGTATGAATGGCACTTTTCGATTTTTGAGTTTACCATATCTTTGTTATTAAAATATGGTGATACGAATGGTGGCACCGTCAGCTCAGGCCAAGGAAAACGTACACCCCAACCTCACTACGCACCAGACACAGCACCAGACTCCCAACCACCCCCTTCCCCGCCGCGCCAAACACCCTGACCTGTCCCTGCATGAGCTGTAAGTGGTAAGTGGGAAAGGATCAGCCCCCCCGCAGCCCCACTACACGCCGCACCTGGTCAACCTTATCACAACCCCACCAGACAACCACAAAATACTTTGCAGTGAAGGGATCAATATTGCCCCCCACCATGCCACCTGCAAGGTGAAAACGCTCTCCAAAGTGCAAGCCGACGAAAGCAAACCTAGCCTCTTTGGCACTTTGATCACGCTGCTGCGAGGACGCCTGAGCAACAGTCTGACAGCTGTGTCTCCAACCTGCTGGAAAGCTCAGCGCTACGTCGTGCAGGCGGCCTCCATATCTTTGATGGTTGCTTGCTGCGCCTCAGCCTGGATCAAGCAAAACTCTCTGTGCTGCTCAGCTGATGTCGCCTCAGATAAACCCTTGATTTGTCGAGGCCTCTGGTTCCATTCATTCCCACTGTCCCTTGGCCTTCGCCGTCAGCTGTGCCACTTCCTGCTGGTGCTGCGCCAAGGCAGCCTGCAGCCAGCACGCTTAGCGGCTCTCAACTCTGCATAAGCTCTACGCCCTCATCTGCACCTTCTTGAATAACATGACTCAGATTCTCTGAACACACCAGAGACTGCCGAGGAGACCAAAAAATCTGCACACGCCACCACCATGAACAGGCCGTGATAGACATGAGGCATGCTCCTAGTGCACCTAAACCTAAGGATCCTGACATTGGGGGTATAAGGGCCCTTATAAGGGGGATGTTTATGTGGTTTTTTGGGCCCTCTCCTGCCTGCAAGTCCGCGACTTGCGCGTTCAGCACCGATACCTGCGAGCCATAGCCGAAGAGTCGACAGAAGGATCCAGGAATCGCGGTCCCAAGGGTCCCCCGGTAGCTACGCCTGCCCGAAACCCTATACCCTCAACCACCCGACCCTAAACCCTAAACCCTAATCCCAAACCCTAAACCCGAAACCCTAAACCCTAAACCCCAAACCCTAAACCCGAAACCCGAAACCCTAAACCCTAAACCCCAAACCCTACCACGGTCACACCTGGGCAGCTTCCGCTTGCAGGTTCTGCATCTCTCGGCTGGCGCTTTCAGCTGCCGCCTCTGCACCGCGCCAACATCCAACCAAACCCATAGGGTTTAGGTTTAGGGTTTAGGGTTTAGGGTTTAGGGTTTAGGGTTTAGGGTTTAGGGTTTAGGGTTTAGGGTTTAGGGTTTAGGGTTTAGGGTTTAGGGTTTAGGGTTTAGGGTTTGCTGTGATAGGGCGTAGATGTGAAGGTTAGGTTTCGGAACAAGCTCGAAAGCTTCGTGAGGTGCTGAGGAGCAGCTTTGGCCCGATTGTGGAGGGCCATCTAACACTTTTCTCCCACCCCACGCCGTCCAAGGCGGCAAAGCCACCCAAACCTATTCCTTTTAGGGTTTAGGCCTAAACTCAGACAGTCCACTTTTCAAAACTTTGATGTTGGTTGAATGCGAGAGTCAAGGGTGCCAGCAAGGTCTCCAAGGTAAGATAGAGGCCCCGCCGAGGGGGGTCAGGGGCGCCAGGTGGGCCAGGGGGGTTAGGGGGGCGGCCAGGGGCCAAAAGGCCAGAAAACTGATTAAAAGGCCAGCCAATATCAGGGTCTGGGTTATTATAGGGGACCAGTACTGGTCCCGAGGAGAGCGTGTTCCATCGTGGGCGCTACCGACTTCCATGCTGTGGGAGGGGGGCGAGCGACCTGGGTCGGCTTGTGCCATCGAGGTGAAAGGGCTTAAGCGCCGCCCCCCAACGTAGGGGGGCGGCCTAGGCCCTGAGATTAGGGTTTAGGGTTTAGGGTTTTGGGTTTAGGGTTTAGGGTTTAGGGTTTAGGGTTTAGGGTTTACTGTTTAGGGTTTAGGGTTTACTGTTTAGGGTTTAGGGTTTAGGGTTTAGGGTTTAGGGTTTAGGGTAAGCAAACCTCGGATGTTCCCCCTTTATACTAACAGCTCCTTAATCGGGATTATGGCAGTGAACTATAATCCCTATTCAGGACTGTTATTCAGGACTGTTAGTATAACGGGGGATTTCCCAAAGAAAACACAAAATGTACGGCAACAAACAACCATATGCAGTAAGAACATATGAAACTAGGTGATTTTGCGCCAAAACGAGCAGGAATCAACTTCGATCGCTGCGAGGCCAACCGACATAGCCGACATGCCCCCGGAGTCCGCGCTGGCCTCGAGCTCGGCCAGCTTGCCACGCAACTCCGGGACCTGCAAGTGCACCAGCATTCACCAGCTCTTGCAGCTTTCATACATTTTAATCGTGTGCCAGCAGCCCTCCCGCACCCTAGCCCAAAACTCTTCACAGATGTTCTCTCCACTTTTGCAGTGATTTCGAAGCCTGTGCGGCTTCGGATCTCAGCTGCTCAAGCTGCTGCTGGAGCTCCGCAGACGCACCGGCAGCATCTTGCAAGGCGGCTGTCCGTTGCGCCTTGCAGGATGCCAACGCATCTACACCTGACTTTCTCAATAGCACGTTAAGCTTGTGCCTCCACATCGGCTACTTGTGCTTTCAGTGCCGGCACCTTGCATGTTTCCGTTGCGCACACCACGCATTGGCCAGCTGCAACAGCCATGCCGACACATGCCGACACCATTGCCTGCCTCAGCTGCTTCCGCCTTGAGTCTGGCAACTTCTTCTTGCAGCTGCTCAGCCGCAGCTTGCACTTGGAGAGCGGATTCTTGCTTAGCCTTCACATCCAAACGGACAAGTCGCTTGACAAGCCCATCATAGCCGATCGCTCTCACAATCTCTCGCATGCTCTCGTTACCTTCAATCAACTTCGATCGCTGCGAGGCCAACCGACATAGCCGACATGCCCCCGGAGTCCGCGCTGGCCTCGAGCTCGGCCAGCTTGCCACGCAACTCCGGGACCTGCAAGTGCACCAGCATTCACCAGCTCTTGCAGCTTTCATAAATTTTAACCATGTGCCAGCAGCCCTCCGGCACCCTAGCCCAAAACTCTTCACAGATGTTCTCTTCACTCACTTTTGCAGTGATTTCGAAGCCTGTGCGGCTTCGGATTTCAGCTGCTCAAGCTGCTGCTGGAGCTCCGCAGACGCACCGGCAGCATCTTGCAAGGCGGCTGTCCGTTGCGCCTTGCAGGATGCCAACGTATCTACACCTGACTTTCTCAATAGCACGTTAAGCTTGTGCCTCCACATCGGCTACTTGTGCTTTCAGTGCCGACACCTTGCAAGTTTCCGTTGCGCACACCACGCATTGGCCAGCTGCAACAGCCATGCCGACACATGCCGACACCATTGCCTGCCTCAGCTGCTTCCGCCTTGAGTCTGGCAACTTCTTCTTGCAGCTGCTCAGCCCCAGCTTGCACTTGGAGAGCGGATTCTTGCTTAGCCTTCACATCCAAAAGGACAAGACACTTAAAAGCCCATCATAGCCGATCGCTCTCACAATCTCTCACATGCTCTCGTTACCTTCAATCAACTTCGATCGCTGCGAGGCCAACCGACATAGCCGACATGCCCCCGGAGTCCGCGCTGGCCTCGAGCTCGGCCAGCTTTCCACGCAACTCCGGGACCTGCAAGTGCACCAGCATTCACCAGCTCTTGCAGCTTTCATACATTTTGACCGTGTGCCAGCAGCCCTCCCACACCCTAGCCCAAAACTCTTCACAGATGCTCTCTTCACTCACTTTTGCGGTGGTTTCGAAGCCTGTGCGGCTTCGGATCTCAGCTGCTCAAGCTGCTGCTGGAGCTCCGCAGACGCACCGGCAGCATCTTGCAAGGCGGCTGTCCGTTGCGCCTTGCAGGATGCCAACGCATCTACACCTGACTTTCTCAATAGCACGTTAAGCTTGTGCCTCCACATCGGCTACTTGTGCTTTCAGTGCCGGCACCTTGCATGTTTCCGTTGCGCACACCACGCATTGGCCAGCTGCAACAGCCATGCCGACACATGCCGACACCATTGCCTGCCTCAGCTGCTTCCGCCTTGAGTCTGGCAACTTCTTCTTGCAGCTGCTCAGCCGCAGCTTGCACTTGGAGAGCGGATTCTTGCTTAGCCTTCACATCCAAACGGACAAGACACTTCACAAGCCCATCATAGCCGATCGCTCTCACACTCTCTCACATGCTCTCGTTACCTTCAATCAACTTCGATCGCTGCGAGGCCAACCGACATAGCCGACATGCCCCCGGAGTCCGCGCTGGCCTCGAGCTCGGCCAGCTTTCCACGCAACTCCGGGACCTGCAAGTGCACCAGCATTCACCAGCTCTTGCAGCTTTCATACATTTTAATCGTGTGCCATCAGCCCTCCGGCACCCTAGCCCAAAACTCTTCACAGATGTTCTCTTCACTTTTGCAGTGATTTCGAAGCCTGTGCGGCTTCGGATCTCAGCTGCTCAAGCTGCTGCTGGAGCTCCGCAGACGCACCGGCAGCATCTTGCAAGGCGGCTGTCCGTTGCGCCTTGCAGGATGCCAACGTATCTACACCTGACTTTCTCAATAGCACGTTAAGCTTGTGCCTCCACATCGGCTACTTGTGCTTTCAGTGCCGGCACCTTGCATTTTCCATTGCACACTCACCACGCATTGGCCAGCTGCAACAGCCATGCCGACACATGCCGACACCATTGCCTGCCTCAGCTGCTTCCGCCTTGAGTCTGGCAACTTCTTCTTGCAGCTGCTCAGCCGCAGCTTGCACTTGGAGAGAAGATTCTTGCTTAGCCTTCACATCCAAACGGACAAGTCGCTTGACAAGCCCATCATAGCCGATCGCTCTCACAATCTCTCACATGCTCTCGTTACCTTCAATCAACTTCGATCGCTGCGAGGCCAACCGACATAGCCGACATGCCCCCGGAGTCCGCGCTGGCCTCGAGCTCGGCCAGCTTTCCACGCAACTCCGGGACCTGCAAGTGCACCAGCATTCACCAGCTCTTGCAGCTTTCATACATTTTAACCATGCGCCAGCAGCCCTCCGGCACCCTAGCCCAAAACTCTTCACAGATGTTCTCTTCACTCACTTTTGCAGTGATTTCGAAGCCTGTGCGGCTTCGGATCTCAGCTGCTCAAGCTGCTGCTGGAGCTCCGCAGACGCACCGGCAGCATCTTGCAAGGCGGCTGTCCGTTGCGCCTTGCAGGATGCCAACGTATCTACACCTGACTTTCTCAATAGCACGTTAAGCTTGTGCCTCCACATCGGCTACTTGTGCTTTCAGTGCCGGCACCTTGCATTTTCCATTGCACACTCACCACGCATTGGCCAGCTGCAACAGCCATGCCGACACATGCCGACACCATTGCCTGCCTCAGCTGCTTCCGCCTTGAGTCTGGCAACTTCTTCTTGCAGCTGCTCAGCCGCAGCTTGCACTTGGAGAGAAGATTCTTGCTTAGCCTTCACATCCAAACGGACAAGTCGCTTGACAAGCCCATCATAGCCGATCGCTCTCACAATCTCTCACATGCTCTCGTTACCTTCAATCAACTTCGATCGCTGCGAGGCCAACCGACATAGCCGACATGCCCCCGGAGTCCGCGCTGGCCTCGAGCTCGGCCAGCTTGCCACGCAACTCCGGGACCTGCAAGTGCACCAGCATTCACCAGCTCTTGCAGCTTTCATACGTTTTAACCGTGTGCCAGCAGCCCTCTCGCACCCTAGCCCAAAACTCTTCACAGATGCTCTCTTCACTTTTGCAGTGATTTCGAGGCCTGTGCGGCTTCGGATCTCAGCTGCTCAAGCTGCTGCTGGAGCTCCGCAGACGCACCGGCAGCATCTTGCAAGGCGGCTGTCCGTTGCGCCTTGCAGCATGCCAACGTATCTACACCTGACTTTCTCAATAGCACGTTAAGCTTGTGCCTCCACATCGGCTACTTGTGCTTTCAGTGCCGGCACCTTGCATGTTTCCGTTGCACACACCACGCATTGGCCAGCTGCAACAGCCATGCCGACACATGCCGACACCAGCCTGCCTCAGCTGCTTCCGCCTTGAGTCTGGCAACTTCTTCTTGCAGCTGCTCAGCCGCAGCTTGCACTTGGAGAGCGGATTCTTGCTTAGCCTTCACATCCAAACGGACAAGTCGCTTGACAAGCCCATCATAGCCGATCGCTCTCACAATCTCTCACATGCTCTCGTCACCTTCAATCAACTTCGATCGCTGCGAGGCCAACCGACATAGCCGACATGCCCCCGGAGTCCGCGCTGGCCTCGAGCTCGGCCAGCTTGCCACGCAACTCCGGGACCTGCAAGTGCACCAGCATTCACCAGCTCTTGCAGCTTTCATACATTTTAATCGTGTGCCAGCAGCCCTCCCGCACCCTAGCCCAAAACTCTTCACAGATGTTCTCTTCACTTTTGCAGTGATTTCGAAGCCTGTGCGGCTTCGGATCTCAGCTGCTCAAGCTGCTGCTGGAGCTCCGCAGACGCACCGGCAGCATCTTGCAAGGCGGCTGTCCGTTGCGCCTTGCAGCATGCCAACGTATCTACACCTGACTTGCTCAATAGCACGTTAAGCTTGTGCCTCCACATCGGCTACTTGTGCTTTCAGTGCCGGCACCTTGCATGTTTCCATTGCACACTCACCACGCATTGGCCAGCTGCAACAGCCATGCCGACACATGCCGACACCATTGCCTGCCTCAGCTGCGTCCGCCTTGAGTCTGGCAACTTCTTCTTGCAGCTGCTCAGCCGCAGCTTGCACTTGGAGAGCGGATTCTTGCTTAGCCTTCACATCCAAACGGACAAGTCGCTTGACAAGCCCATCATAGCCGATCGCTCTCACGAGGCCAACCGACATAGCCGACATGCCCCCGGAGTCCGCGCTGGCCTCGAGCTCGGCCAGCTTGCCACGCAACTCCGGGACCTGCAAGTGCACCAGCATTCACCAGCTCTTGCAGCTTTCATACATCTTAACCATGTGCCAGCAGCCCTCCGGCACCCTAGCCCAAACCTCTTCACAGATGTTCTCTTCACTCACTTTTGCAGTGATTTCGAAGCCTGTGCGGCTTCGGATCTCAGCTGCTCAAGCTGCTGCTGGAGCTCCGCAGACGCACCGGCAGCATCTTGCAAGGCGGCTGTCCGTTGCGCCTTGCAGCATGCCAACGTATCTACACCTGACTTTCTCAATAGCACGTTAAGCTTGTGCCTCCACATCGGCTACTTGTGCTTTCAGTGCCGGCACCTTTCATGTTTCCGTTGCGCACACCACGCATTGGCCAGCTGCAACAGCCATGCCGACACATGCCGACACCAGCCTGCCTCAGCTGCTTCCGCCTTGAGTCTGGCAACTTCTTCTTGCAGCTGCTCAGCCGCAGCTTGCACTTGGAGAGCGGATTCTTGCTTAGCCTTCACATCCAAACGGACAAGTCGCTTGACAAGCCCATCATAGCCGATCGCTCACACAATCTCTCACATGCTCTCGTTACCTTCAATCAACTTCGATCGCTGCGAGGCCAACCGACATAGCCGACTTGCCCCCGGAGTCCGCGCTGGCCTCGAGCTCGGCCAGCTTGCCACGCAACTCCGGGACCTGCAAATTGCGGCTTGCATGCATGTTAACTGTGTGCCCGCGGCTTTTAGCATGTAAAAGCTGCGTGAGGCAGTTCCCCTCCACCCCTCCCTCCCCTCGTGTCAGAGCATCTCGCGACTCCTGTGCTCGCCTTTGCCCCGCATTCCTAGCACATGTTGCGTCCTCGTTCAAAGCTCGAGATTCGTCGGGGGTAGAGCCCAAACAGTACAAGAAGAACACTCCAAGACCCCCTCCCAGACCTCGCCAAAGGCACTCTTCGCAAGGGCCCGAAAGCCGCGATAGTTCACGAGGAGCATGTGCACGGGATCAAAACGCGAGCGGCATTGGCAACACTGCGACATGCAAATCCCCCTTGAAACGTTTAGAACGGACGACCGCCGCGAACCCATCCGGGCCTAGGCGAGCGTCTTGGACATGCGGAACCACCGAGAGAGTCATCGATGAAAAACATGAGTGCACTCCGAAGTCTGGGAGAGGCCTTCTTAAGCCTTAGTACAGGCAACCATGGGCCCTATGTGGTGACTTCTCCAGAACAGGGTCCTTTTTTGGGGGTACCCTAGATGATACATGGGCACGGGGCCTAGGCGAGAGCAACCGAGGTGTGTGCGGGAGCACCGCTCCGGGACCGCAATCTGAGCTTCTTTACCCCGAACAGGATCACCCGAAGGCGCAAGGCGCAAGCATTGTGTGAGGAATTGGAGTATTCATATTATTCATGACATCTGCCGACTGGGAATGTGCCGGTGACGTTCAACATCATGAACATCCAACGACTCATGCCGTCAAATCTGTCGCAACCCCACCCCCCCCTCCACCGACCCTCCTACCCTACCTTGCTTTTCTGGTTTTGCCACTTGGACAGGCCCAAGCCGAGGCGGGTCGCGTAGCGATAAAAGTACATAGGACAAGAATCGGGAACACGCCCGAAGCTCTTCGCTCCTGCTCTCTGCGCCCTCACGTTTGCCCAGCAATTTCGACGCCTGCACGGCTTCGGACTTGAGCTGCTCTACCTGCTGCTGAAGATCTGCAGATGCTCCGGCAGCATCTTGCAAGGCGGCTGTCCGTTGTGCCTTGCGGAATGCCACTGTATATGTATAAACGCTATCCATGCTGCAAGATCACGTCAAGCTTGTGCCTCCGCATCGGCTACTTGTGCTTTGAGTGCAGGCACCTTGCATGGTTTTCTGTGACAGACACCACGCGGGGGCCAGCTGCTAAAGCAATGCCGACAAATGCCGACACTACCGCATGCCTCAGCTGCTTCCGCCTTCAGTCTCGCAATTTCTTCTTGCAGCTGCTCAGCCGCACCTTGCGCTTGAGCTGAAGCGGCCTCCGTGCAACAGCAGGCATTCGTGCAGAACGATCTTTGGGTCAAAGGTAAACCTTGCGAGCACGTGCCTTCAAGTTCGCGAGCTCTGCACGCAAATCAACCACCTGCTGTGTCCATTAACAGTAGCACATCGCTGGAAGCATTAGTGGAACATTGCTACAAGTTGCAACCTCTGCCATCTGCGCTTTGGCCGAATCCAACTCCTTGAAGCAGAGACAGCAAGTGACAATCCGTGCACGGACCCGTACTTGCCCACCCAGGGCCAGACTGCTAATTCCTAGAAGCGGAAGTCTTGATTTCTGTCAGTTAAGGGCAACACGCAGAGAGCAGTTTAATGTGTCTTGGTATTGCAACAGACATGTTCGGGTCGAATTCCGGATCCTAAACGCTCAATGCCTTCTTTGCAACTGAGCCTCTGCCCGTAACGCGTCCACGTCTGGTGAGTTCTGTGCGCCTGCCTTTCTTTTGGGGGACAACGTGGCAACACACATGCACTTCGCACGTTTAGGACAGAAATCTGCCTTAACTTTTTCCAGCTCTTGGTTGAGCGCCAGTACCTGCAGTGCACGCATTTAAGAGCACAAGTTTTGTTGGTATGTGCAGGTCCACTGCAGGTCCCCTCTCACACATGAACGCTGTTGAATGCTGTCGATCTGAAGACCCAAGAATGGTGTCCCACATTGCCCCACGCTCCCACGGCACCTTTGCGTTGCAGTCGTCCTTCAGCTTGTTGAAAGTCTCCCGCGTCCGTTCCTCTGCATTCTGGAGATTTTGGAGATTTTGGAGGTCCGAAGCCCTTGAGCCCTCCCTCTTGCATTCGGCTTCTGACCTTGAGCCTCTGCTGCTCCGCAAGGCGCTTCTCCTGCTCCTGCTTCAACGAAGCCTGGCGGGCGCTTGAGTACTGCATGGAGCTTAAGAAATGCTTTTCTCTGAGTCTTGGTCCCTTTACCTGTAGTACTAGCTAACCCTATCACCAGGCAACTCTCAGCTTCGTAACGGGCCTGTTAAGCTCGCCGGAGAGGTGCGAAACCCCTAAAAAAGAACCGTGCACCGCGGATTCTAATACAAGCCTACGCCAACGGCGTCTTTAGCTTGCGCAGCACGCTCTCTGCACGAACGACATGTACACAAACCTACATGAGATATGTCGTAAGCAGAAGCATACCTAGGCGGAGCCTGCACACAGAGTACCTCCGTGGTCGAGGTGGACCAATGCGGGACTTATCGTTGTCTTACGCCAGAAAGCCCAGATGGACAAAAACACGAGGTGGAGTCCTATCCATCAACAAGAAGCACGTCAGGGTAGGTCGGACACCCATGAACAAAACAATGACTGTCAACAAGCCATTTAAATCATTTAGACATTAGACAGGTGCGCCAACGGGTACTAGTACGTGCGAGCTGCGAGAAATTCTGAGATAAGCCCCGATAACAAGCAAAACAATCGCACGCATAGAATCGCACGTGTCACATCCCGGACTTCTTCACTCGTCGAGTTGCTGTGACTTGCTCTCGCTTTGCCGGACGTTGAGACCCCTTGACACTTCCTTGCTTTCGAACTGTTCGAGACCTTGGGTCTAGACGTGGTTTCTCGTGTGTTTGTGTCTCCACATGCATCTTCAAGAACTTTCGGGGCTGAGGCTTCTCGCCTTTTGGCGCTTCTCGCCCCTTTGGGCTTCGCAACATGGCTTTTCGCCAGGGCGTGTCAACTTTCAGGGATGTGCGCCCCGAAGTTTCAAACTTCTCGACGCTAGAAATCTCGACTTTTTGATGCCATGGTCTGCACAATGCGCTTCAGACTTTGAGGGTCTGCGCTTTGCACTTCAGGCTTTGAGAGACAGATTCCCCCCGTTCCTCCAACTTCTCCTTCTCCTGATTGAGCGAGTCGAACTCCTCCTGGTCGCGAACGGCGATCGCTCTGCACTGGTTGAATGCCACTTTCTGCAAGATTCTCAAAGCTTAGCAACATAGTCATTCGGCTGATCCTGCCAGCAAAACAAACAGCACTTCCCCGAAACTCCGAAACACCACCCTCCTGCGACGGCGCCATGTTGAGTTGCGCGGCTGAAGCGACCCAGCCAAGGAACGTAAGACTGCGAGGATCTAAAGGGCTATGCAGCCAAAGCCGGCTTCAACTTCTTAATCTACAGGCTTCGGTTCAGTTCAGCTTCTAATCGGTCACAATGCCCACCAACAACATCAGAAAGTGCAGAAAATCGATGGCTCCAGGGGGTTTCCCATCTTTGCCCCCTGACAAGCAGATACCAGCAAGGAGCCACAGCAGCGAGACACGCAGGGCGATCAGATTGGCACGCATGCTGCAACTGACCCAAAGTGAGAGTCGTGAGCGCGATACGCACGTTGGTGCGTTTGCTGGCACTCCTTTTTTGGATGGGCTGCGCTGCCTCAGCCACGAAGCTGTTGACACTGAGAATCTATGGCCATCTCCTTGGGATCACGAGAGCTTGCTTCCGGCAGCGTGGCTTGGCAGAGCGTATGGGGTGATCTCGACTCTACACGAGGGTCGCCTGCAGCTGAATGCTTGCATAGAAGGCGAAAAAGGACCCTAATTTAGAACAACCTCTGAAAACTCAAGAGATTTATTTCACTTTGTTGCAGCAAGTCACTTGCCATAAGCAAAGGCCTGTCTCAAGTGCTAGAGGAGAGGGAGACAAGGAGAAGGTTGGAGAAGGAACGAGAGTGAGCCAACCTCCCTGCGGATGCGATCCTGCATACAGACTTTGGCTCCGGGCCGTGAGCGCTCCGGGCTTCACAGTAAGTTTGCCCATTTGTACCATCATCGGTTGCTCCACAGTGCACTTCTCAAGTTATGAACATGGCTCGATTCATTGAGTTTTTCGCTCTATCTGCCGTCCGACTCGTGCTCGGTTGTGCTTGCTTGCTTGCCTGCATGTTTGCCTCCACTGTGGCGTCAGCCCTCAAGCCTGCACACGAAGGACGGGAACAACCCCCCCCCACGGAGTCCTGCACTGAGATGATGTTCTCGCCAACCTCACCCCAAAACAACGGGACCGGCAACTTTCACCTACAGCCATGTGAACAACAACAAACAGGGCAATTCGCGGGCGCTAAAGGCCTAGGTCGGACACAGCGGAATACCAGGTTGTCCGGGAGCTCCCGATTCGTGCATGTGGGCTTAGGCTTTAGGCGTTCGATTGTCCTCACGCCGCCGAGGCTACTATCAGCCACTCAGTATGTCAAGGCAGTGTAGCTATCCAAGTATCTTCTTCTCAAGGCCATGCAAGTGGCAAGTACTTTTTTTTTCTCATTTGACTGCCACGACCTCCCTCACACGTCTACCGCGTTTGGAAGGACCAGCTGGAATCTCCGGAACTTTCCGAAGACGTGTCAGGGTCGTAGAGCACTACCACCCGAAACCGTTCCTGCGTCCAGCTGCTGGGCAAGTCCTGGGCCTGCTTGCTGCCGGTTGCATCGACGCCACCCGAGTTCATGCGGATAAAGCGGTTCTCCCGTGTGTGGTGCAGAGCGATTTCCCCGTTCCCCGCATACACCACGGCAAAGCCGGAAAAAGGGGCATGGTGGCGAAGCAGAGTGCCTAAGTCCCTCCTCGCGCTGGTCCCCACGTCACTGCCATCCATATTCACGAAGCGCTTCCACTTCACACTCTGAAGCGCCACCTGACCGTTCCAGGCATCCACGACTAGGAAGCGCTCCCATTCCCAGTCGGCAGGAAGGTCATGGGCGTCCCTCTCGCCGCTGCGGTCCATGTCAGCATCGTTCATTCGCAGGAAGCGGTTCCACTTGGCGTTGTGGAGGGCAACGATGGTGCCTGGCTTCAAGTAGGGTTGCAACTCCCTCAACCTGAAACGCTCCGAGACCCAGCTCTCGGGAAGACCATCGGCGCTCCGTTCGGGGCTGGCATCGCAGCCGCGGTTGGGCCTCAAGCGGATATAGCGGTTGCGCAAGTAGTTGTGGAGCCCGATCTCGCCATCTCCAACGTAGACCACGGTGAAGCGGATGGACTGCCACGTGCTTGGTAGCTCGCTGGCGGCCATGACGGAGGTGGCCGTCATATCGCCATTTTCACCCATCTGCACAAAGCGATTGTGCGCGCTGCTGTGCAGGGCGATCTTCCCCTGTCCACCATCCACCACCGTAAAGCGCTCCCATGTCCAGTCTGAGGGAAACTCGTCCTCAAACTCCTTGTTGAGGCTGCCTTCCATATCCGGCTCGTCGTTCATGCCGAGATATCGCCTCCACTTGTGACTGTACAAGGCGATGGTGCTGCCAGGGCGGAATGTGGGAGGTAGTACCGCCGCCGCCACCTGCCCCACGTCGTTATCCGTGAAGCCTCGGAGGGCCAGGATGGCTTTCGCCTGGGGGTTTCCGAAATTAGGGGGTACCTTATTGGCGTCCTTAGAAGGGAATCCTAGTAATTGGGGACTATGTAAGGAGTCCCCTATTTTCGTAAACCCCCACCTTGGTTTCTGCCGACACGAACGGCATGGCCGTGAGGACCAGGGAAAATTGGTCCACGATGTCCAGCAGGTGGATCCTCCTCTCTGGCGAAGAGAAGGGCCCCATATTCACCTTCATTCCAAGCTCCAGCTTGTTGTTCTCCAGAAGGCCCTGAATTTCAAAGCTCACTGTTCCAGGGTTCTTGAAGCTGAAAAGCTGGAAGAAGTCAGATTGGGCGGCCTTCTGCTGCAAAGTGCTGAAGGCTTCCCGGCCACGGTGCTCTGAAGTCTTCTTGATATGCAGGTCCTGGCCATAGTTAATGGACGCCAGGTGGAGTTCCTCAAGGCCGGAGAGTTTGTCTTTGGGAATTGCTTTTTGAATTTGTTGGGGGTTTTTTGTTTGGTTTTTCTAGGGCTCTACTAGAGGTGCTAGGGTTTAGGGTCTAGGGTCTAGGGTGTAGGGTTTAGGGTTGGGATGTTCCCCCTTATACTAACAGCCCTTACTAGGGATGATAGTACCCCCTATCATAATCCCCGTATAAGGGGGGACATCCCAGGTTTAGGGTTTAGGGTTTAGGGCTTCGGGCTTAGGGTTTAGAAGAAGCCCACAATAAGCAATAACAAAGCCGGAGAGAAAAAGCCAAAAACAAAAAAAAACTCCGTTCCTCAATGTCCGTCTCCCAAACCAGCGAGCTCTGGGTTGCCTCGGAGGAGTTGGCCTTCTCAGTGCGGTTGGACTGCAGTAGGCTCCTGTCCATAGGCTCCAGGGTCCGATCGTCCTCAACCGAATGCTGGCCGGTGGCGATGCCGATGGGGTTGCGCCAGGTCTCGTGGGCACCGAACGTGTTCGAGTTCGTGAAGTCTGTGCCGCTGCCGAAGCGCTTGGTCAATCGCAGGGTCCTGCTGAAGAGGAGGATTCCCCCGGAGCGAATCTCCGTGCGCAGTACACTCAAGTCCACGCCACCAGGCTGCTTGTCGGGCCAGCAAACGGTGGTGTCCAGGGAGGCCAAAGGCGCCGGCATCAGGTCGAACTCCAGCCCGCCGACGAAAGCGAGCACCGGTTGCGCGGACAGTGAGAAGCTGACCGTCACGCACTTCTCAATGGACATCTCCCAGCTGTAAAAGGAATATCCTTGCCACTTGTTCCAGTGATCCTTCATCCACGAATTGTCACAGGGCACTGCCCATGGCTCTAGCTGGATGAAATCGCCCTCGTTGTCGACCTGCCAATCCGCCTTCGTCGCCTGGTTATTACTTCCGTGCTTACTTTTTGGTGCGAAGGCCAGGCACGAGCTGGTGTCCGTCTCCTTGCCATTGAACTGGGTGATCAGCTTCGTGGCATAGTTGCCCTCCTGGTCGTGTACCGCAAAGTTGATGACACCTGCCATGCCGCCATCATCGCCATCACCTTTGGCCTGCACCTGCACTGCAGACATCTCGTGGCGCGGCAGCTTCGACCTAGTCCGCTTCTTCGGATGCTGCGAATGGGTCTTGATCATGAGGTTCTTGCCGGAGTGGTGGATCACAGGCGCATCCCCAGCCGCGGGAAACTTGGACTGCGAGGCCCGTTGTATCAAAGACTGGCTGTCGTCCAAGACCTGCTTGACGACGGTTGCGGCAATCTGGGCAAAGACCTCAATAAAATCGGTGAGCATGTTGCTCAGGTGATTCAGCGTGCTCAAAGGAGGGACCATCTCGATGAGTTTGAAGCCGAAGCACTTGATCAGCTCTTTCGGATCATCGAAGCTTGTACAGGAGATCATCTCTTTGCCCATGCTGATCATGGTCTTGACGGGCTGAAGGCCCATGTCAACCACCGTTTTCAATGGCTCTGGCCAATCAAGGTCCGTCGTGCCGAAGTTGAAATCGAAGAGGGTCAACTTCTGGCCCATGAGCCTCACCCAACACTTCTGCCGGCCCCAGTCAACGTCAAGGCCATGGGAGTCAACCGACATCGAGGGAAACCGGTTCTCGTCGCAGCCGGCAGTCCAATCGCTGAAGCCGCGGACGAGAATATCCACAGCCATCTCCACGCTATCGATGACGGTGTTGGCGACGAAGGCAACCTCACTGACAGGGAGAGAGAAAAACACATGACGAGAAACCTGATGACGCCAAAACCAAGGTCTCTACTGTACAGTGTCGGTGCCTTTGTGTGTGTGTGTACCTCTGTCTACTGCCAAACCGGCCTGGTCCGTTGCAGACTCATAGGCGTCGCCCAAGGCATCTCCGATCAAGCCGGTTCCGGACGTATAAACACCACTCCCGAAATCAATGGCGTCGTCAACGAAGGGAATCTTGGACGACACCGCCGCGTCCAGGTCTCCAGCGGTCGCGTTGCCCCTCTGGGACGCCTTCGCCCGCTGCAAAAGCCGGGCCTGGGCCTCTTTGGCCTCCGCGCGCCGGCTTGCCTCCTTCTGGGGCCCCTGCGGCTTCTCCCGATGGAACTCACGCTTCTCCCTCTGCTGGCTGTGCTTGTGGAGGACCTTCTTCAAGACCTCTGTGGCCTTTTGGGTGCCAACCACTTCCGTTTCCTTGGCCTGGGCTGTTTGAGCAGTTTGGCTGCGCTTCCACTCACTCAAGCTGTGGAGCTCAACCTGCTGCAGCTCGACGATCGTCTCCAACTGGGCCACCTTCAGCATCAGAAACTCGAGGTTCGCGCCCAGCTGGCCGAAACCGTGGCGACCCGAGGCGTTGGTGGTGTTGTCCAGGTCTGGCATGTTCGTGGCCTCCTCGAAGTCGTGCTCCAAATTCTTGAGGATGCTCTCCTCGATGGATGCATTGGTGTTGTTGCTTGCATTGTTTCCCTCAGTCAAATCGAAGGGAACGTGTCCGAGTTCGGCCTTTACAGCCAGCAGCGAAGGTGCTGTGACTGGGCAGTGGTGTCCTTGGCACTCCTGGCCCGCAGGACCGCTCAAGGATGCCAAAGCGAATGGGCTAGCACCGAAGATCAGGATCAGAGACCCAACGGTTCTTGAGAAGTTCGGCCACATCATCGACATGGCACAGGATTATGTAGCAAAGTCAGTGGAACCCAGGCACCGGGGAACCGAGGTGCCGAAGCTCTGAGCGCTTGAGCCGAGGCTTGACCCCATTGGCTTGAGGCTTTCCTTTGCCTCCCGCCTGAAACCTGGCTGCAGCCTTTTTGGGCGGTTCCTAGTAATGATCATAGTGCTTTGGGGCATATTCGGCATATTCGGGGTACCCCCCGCTTTTTTGGGAAATGTCAGCCTGTATTACCTTCATCTTGTCAGGTGCTTTTAGACCTTCCCCGAAGTCTCCAAAGTCTCCACCTTGTCGAGGAAGCGCTGCTCGACTCCAGGTGCACCCTCCGCCTCCGGCCACTCCATCAGTGGGGTTTAGGGTTTAGGGTTTAGGGTTTAGGGTTTAGGGTTCAGGGTTTAGGGTTTAGGGATTAGGTTTTAGGATTTAGGGCTTAGGGAACTACATACATGGAATGTTCTAACAACCGACAAATGCTTGGCAGCACAACCTCTCGCCTGCATTGCATGCACGCCATGCGATGTGCCTGTCAGATGCCTCCTGTTTTGTTTGGCGCCGACTAGTCCCCGATGAGACAACACATTGGAAACTCCAGGTGAGATATCCTCTCCTGAAGACTAAGAATACAAGTATGTGCAAGCTGCAGCTGCATGCTTGCATCGACTGCACCCAATTCTGACCAAGGCCAAGCACGAAGAGATGAGAAAGAGTGGCAAGGAGCCAGCTTGCTTCTTGAGGAATCAAACATGTCACTTGCAGCTTTTGCGTGCATGTCAGCGGACAAGCATCAAATTACATGCAGCACCATGGCCACGGTCACACCTCTGAATCCTGCAACATGCACAGGATCTGGATACATATGTTGATGCATTATACTGCTGCGGGCTCATGACTCAGAAGTCATCCACACCTCACTCGTCCCGCTTGCGGCCGCACATCCGGCAGAACGATGCGTCTTCCGCGTACACATTGCCGCAGGTCGGGCAGGAAGTGTTCTGCCAAAGGCTTCATGGCTTGGCTTGGGATCTTCTCTCGTCTCTTGCTCACTCTTTGGCTCTTTGCACTCTTCTAGACTTAGAGAGCCTTCTTGTGGCCACACATCCGGCAGAACAGTGAGTCGTCCGCGTAGACATTGCCGCAAGCCGGGCAGGCATTGTTCTGCCAAAGGCTTGATGGCTTAGGGGTATCGCATACCGCTTTCTCTCTTGCTCACTCTCGCACTCATGGTGAGGTTCACCCGGCCTGTTGAGGGGCTTTGGCCGGTGAGCTGGCGGCGGCCTTCTGAGGGGCTTTGGCCGGCGAGCTGGGAAGTGATGGGGGCTCCTGCTGGCAGGTCTTAACATGTTTCAAATGTGGCCTGCACGGAATCTTGCTTCAAATCAGCACCTCAAGGCTGCTTTCGCTTTCGCAGGTCCTCGTCCTGCGCTCCGGAAGGGTCCTCCACGTGCTCAGTTCTCTCCTTCAAGGACTGGAAGTCCGCCAGGGGCCCTCGGAGCATTGGGCTTCTGTCTTGACTTGGCTAAAATCATTGTTGATGGTGGTGGACCGGCACATGGGCGCATACACATGCATGCACATGTATATAGATATCATATGTATATACATATGTTTTTCCTACTAAACCAGGCTGTGTATACCCCAGAACCTAACATCCGGGCAGACAGAAGCCGGAGGTCTGTAGTAGTCAGAAGCAAAAGCAAAAAAAGGACCCAAAACCCTAAACCCCAAACCCCAAAAAAGGGGGCAGAGGCAGCTGCCTGCAGTGAAGTTCTCCAGCGCCTTCGTGGCATCCTCCTTGGTCTTCGCCGCGGCTCGAAGCTCCTGGGCTAGTCTTTCTTTTCGGCCGGTAAACCCTAAAACCTAAACCCAATATATATGTATATACATCTATGTATGTACGCCTTCTTCTTCTACTCAGCGAAGAGGCCCCAAGAGGGGACCCCGGCCGCGCTGGCACGCTGCGTCTGTCCCGTGTGAAAAGCGGACCCCCTGCGTTAGAGAAGTCTTGTAGTGTAGAAGCCCCCCGCAGGCTGGTAAGTCTCTATCTATCTCTCTCTCTCTCTCTCTGCACGCATGCCCCCCCCCCCCCCCCCCCCCGAGAGAGGAGGCCGCCCCGGAGGGCGCTATCTTTCTTTCTTTGGGGCATGGAGCAGGGCTCGGCGCCGGTGCGCGCCCCCGTCTGCACGGTCCGAAACCCCATCACCCGAACAAAGTGATACAGTACATTTCCTGCGCGGGCACTTCTGAGAGGAAAACTCGCCGCAACATTGGTGCTGGAAAACATATCTATGCAGTTAAGACTGTTGTCTTAAGATGAAAACCGACACCTTAAACCACAAACCCCAATCCCCAAACCCCAAACCCTAAACCCCCTAAACCATGCATCGGAAGTTCCAGAGGCAGGGTCTATGGTGGGGAGGGCCATGGAAAACTGACAGGGGTCTATGTTGCATGGGGGGGGGGGGGTGGTATAGGTAGGGATAGGGTCTATGCATAGGGGTCTATGGTAAAAGGGAAGGGGTATATGTATAGGGGTCTATACGAAAGCGGGCCTATGCATAGGGTTCTGGTAAATAAGAGTGCCTGCAGCATAGGCGGCTATCAACGAGGCATAATGGTCTGTAAAGGGCTCTATCGACTCCTATCATACGGGGGGATACTTTCGGATACTTTCGGGACCTATCTTCGACGCTGGAACGGTTCAGGGGTTGCCGCTGCGCTGGGAGGTTGAGGCCACTCTTTGCAGCGCTTGCAGCGTTTGTCTCGGTCTTGGGGACTTCAGGGCTTAAGGCAGCTTGCCGTTCTGAAACGAGGGTTTCGGGTATGTCTCTCCACTCACAAGTTTCAGCAGCGAAAGAGAGCATGGTGAAGCCGAGTTGCGGATTCAAGGCTCGTTTGGGCCTTCTTGGCTTTCTCGAGCTCTTCGCCCAGATTTGCAGCTGCATCTTTCGCTTCCTGAAAGCTTTTCGGACATGGTTGTTGAAACAAGCGACTATGACCGATGCCTGTCAGCTTGTGCCAGAACGGCCATACACAGTGGCCAGCCTTCGATGCGTTCGCGGCGGCGTCGCTCGCCGCCTTGGCCGCGTCGTGGATGTCTTTGGCAGCCTGCTCACCGACGCGTTTAAGATGCAGATGTGCCCTGATGCACGCCACGGAGTCTGTAACATGGCCTGAACCTTGGCAGCACGCTCTTCGCGAGCGGGGCCTGTGGAGGCTGATGGTGCCACTCGGCCAGTTCTATGTCCCCAGAGACGCATACCCGTTTAAGCATTCTCCAGATGGCCTTCACCAGCGATCTTTGTGGTGTAGTCGGCCAGTGTCTTCGCAATGGCCTTACTGGCAACGGCTGTGGACAACCGTTGGACACGGGGCACGATACAACACGCTTCCCACGCTTCCTGGCCTCGTCCAGCTTGTCCAGGATCGTCCGCGAGAAGTCACCCCGATCCCTCAGTGTCAGAAAACAAAGCCGCCATACCATCGTGGGGCAGACATCGGCAGGTCACTCTCCAGACTCCAGACATATTTCTGGACTCAATTCGAGCGTCTCTGGCTTCTGCTTCAGCGGCAGGTGGATGCTGCTGACGAGTGAACTCTCCAATCCTGCCTGCACATGCTACAACAGAGCCTTCCGTCGGACTATGCACCAGTCTTCAGTCACGATCTCGCCTTGGTCAGTGCCTTCTCCAAGGCTGCGATGGGCCTTGCTTTCACTGGTCCTGGCAGCAACGGGGCATCAAAACCCCATGGCAAGGAGACGACAAGGGCACACAGCACATACGCGGCAACCAGGTAGCGGGTGCATCGATCATGCCAAGGACGGTAAGAACTGGGAAATTATATGCTTGACTACTTCGTCGAATGCTCATGCAACGCCCTTTCTTCGCATGCAGGCCACAGGACACAGGATCAAGGGAAGCAGCAGAGGAACAGCAGAGAAAAACCGAGTGCCAGTGGAGCAAGCGAGGTCACGTCTTGTGCTCACAGAGACAGGACAGGCAAAGGACAGGCCTTGCTCCTTCAGCGCCGGGAGATCCTTCACTGCTTCTTCCAGCGCAGCTTTGTCCTACGAAACGGGGCACCAGACCGAAGACGTGGAGACGTGGAGACGTGGATGATGTAAGGCGCCTTCTCGAGCGAGACCGCGGCGGCGTCACCCTCCTTTTGCTCGGCCAGTGCCGTCTTCAGGGGCTCCACGGTGGCCTGATCTCTGGAGCCCGAACACGAACATTTTAAGGCGAAAACGGGAGAGAGGCACACTCTGTCGGTCCGTCGATCCGGGGAGGATCATGCTTGAAGCATGTATGGCAAGATATGGCAAGTGTCGGCCTTGTATTCCGCCGTCTTGTCCTGGCTCTCGGTAGCCGCGGCTTTCTTGGCTTCTTGGGCTGCTGCCAGCTTGTCCTCGCCTGAGTGGTGGTCCCGACATCCAAAGCAGAATGGTGTGAGATTTCAAAACGAAGAAGAAAAGCCTCTTGCATACAAGGTTCTCGAAGCGAAGCCATAGGGATTTTAAGGACGTTCGGAGAGAAAGCACTTTCAGTTGCCAAGGAAGAGGAAGCAACATAAGCACTGCAGCCAAGGCACAGTCCTTTACAGCCGCTTCCCGGGTTACTTTCTCAGCATCGGCATTGTCGAGCAGCGTGGTGGCGTCCGCTAACTGTGCAGGAAGGATAGGAAGAGAACCAACTTCCGGAGCCCAACACGCTGTCGCTAGCTGTGCTTAGCTTTCACGATTGAAGCCACCTAGACCCTAAACCCTAAACCCTAAACCCTAAAGAGCACCTGGATGATGCCGACGATTTGGCGACAGGTTTGGCGACGGCTTTGGGCCGTGTTCTTTGGAGGTTCCATGGCCTCTTGTTTCATCCCTTTTGTGGGTCCTTGGTGTGTCGCAACTGAAATGTCGTCGCGGCCCGTATGCAGGCCCGGTGTTTTTGGCCTTTGTATTCCGCACCTACAAAACCCCTCCGTCGGCTTCAGCTCTATCTCCGTTGCTCACGAGTCTTCTGGCTTTCATTGGCAAGCCGCAAATCGCAAGATGCACGAATGGCACAACCGGCTCCCGAAGGAGAAACCACTTCAAGGCACAAGCGCTGGGCCTCCTTTGTAAGGCTTTCCTTTCCGGCTTCCAGCACCTGCGCGAATGTGCCATGTCTGGCGCTCTTCAGACTACGAGAAAGTTCGGCGCAGCATGAATCTAATTGCATCCTTTGGGTTGACACGTTGATCGACCACTGGACTGCCGAGCAGGTCGCTCAACAAGCTTGTTGGGGCGTTACCCATCTCTAGGCATTTAGCAGATGTGGCCTTCTCGATCATCGTGAAGGCCTCCTCCTGGAAGGGGTGGCGGTCCTGGCAAAAAATGTGCGTCGAATCCCAGCTCAGGATGCAGGCAGGGCTTAGGGTGTTCGGACTTTGGAAACTCAGGAAGCTTGCGATGCTCCTCCAACTTGGTGGACAGCGAGTTCTCCGCCAGCGTCTTGACAAGGTTCGAAACCTCACTTGGCACGGCCTGGAAAGACTCGAACCGATTGGGTGACGTTGGGGATGGCAATGTGCCATACTTATAATCCAATATGATAATATTTATACGAATATCATAATAATCTAATTTCATCATGACATGATATGACGTGTAACAACATATAGTGTAATGTCGTGATTTCATGCTAACGACTACAGGCCCCAGTCTTGGACAGCCACACGCTGTTCACTCCGGCCTGCTTCTTCTCGGCCACTTTGAGGCCAGTCAGGACACTCTTCACCTTCGCCGGAGTGTCGTCCTTGACCTGCAGACCCGTGAAACTCTACATGATGATGTTATATGTTTATTGACACCCCAGTATGTAAGTATGTAGCGTTAGTCTCACTTTGCACTTGCCGCTATATCGTGCCAGCAAAAAGAGCCACACAACCAAAACGCCCCAACACCAAAACAGAGCCTTCTTCGGCTTCCCGCCAATGGATGACGACGCCGGCCGCTTCAATGGCGCCCCAAAGGCCTCAAGCGTTCGGTTTCACAGCTCCCCTCAAAGGCTCGGCAGACTTCTTGAAAACAGCCGATCCTTCAGCTCTTGGATGAGGAAGTCGTGAGCAGCTTCCGTCCAGTTGAACTCCTCAACGTAGATGCACTTCGTGGCACCCTTTGCGCTACGGCTCGTGTGAGGCTAAGTTGAGGCGAGGCTCTGAAAGGCAAAGCCTGACGGTCCACTTCTCCGTGTCCGTGACCTGGATCAGATCCCCCGATGCCAATTCCGGGAACGAGACCCTCTCCCAAGAATGTCGCCTTGCCACCATCCAGAACAGCCTTCAATACCTCTTTGGCATCGTCCTGAACGAGGAAACGAGGACTCTGTAGCTTCAGCTGCCATCTGAGTCTCTTGTCCAATGAGGCTCTCCTTGGAAACACGACCATCACCAGCCCCGGCTACCGCTTTGCGGCACACCTCCAGGAGCTCGCGATCGCACCTGAGCTGAATGGGTAAGGAGGACAGGCCATGTACCGCATACGCTGCAGCTTTCGGCAGTACAGCTCGCAGAGAAACAGCAGCAAAATCAGGTGTGCGTGTGTTGCGCAGGCGGTAATTGGCCATCACACCCTACCAGTATGCTTTGCTGGCTGTCCTAGCAAGCCTTGTTGAGCATGAGTGCCGCCTACAGAAACAGAAGTCAAGCATCTTCACACCATCGACCTTCTCGTAGTAGCCCTTCGAAGAGCCACCCTGTCGATCTGTCAAATGGGGAGGGGGTTATCCTCCAGGAATTAGGGGTGCCCTTGTTTTGGGGGGAGGGACTCCTTTTTTTGGCAAATTGGGAAATATGATGAAATATGCAAGTACTGCAAGTAGACATCCGAGCGATTTTGCGCTGTGCTGGCCAGGCCTTGACCGGGTCCCGCTTGCTGATGGCCTTCACTGCTGAAGTGATCCAGTCCCCGGCAGCCTCCGTGAAGTTGAACCTTACATTCTGAGGAAAGACCAATGTACTTCCACACACCCCATCTCTGAATCCATCCCAAAGGCTCTGTCAAACAGTATCGCAGAGCCCACAGCTCGTGGTCTGTCACCTCGATGCAGCACCGGCCAACTCCGAAACGCGGAGCATGACTTCAATTGCTGGCCTTATTGGCATCTTTGATGAACTTGAAGACCTGGAAGCTTCCAGCTTTCAGTGAAATATGCATCTGAAGCAGTCTGCCCTCTGCCTCGTGCGCGTCCTCAATGGAAACACGTCCATCACCTGCACAAGCCCGCCGGGTTCTAGCAAGTACAGCAACACGGATTAGGATCGAAACTGCGAGGGCCTTTGCCCTGAACAGCAGCAGCGCAAGCATCGACAACGGCCCTGTCCTTGGCAGCAGCAGCCATGTAGGGGGGCACCCTGCATTTTTGTCCCTTTTCGGGTGGCTACTATACGAGCCCTTGAAATAATTTTGGAGCAACCCCCCATGTATGTGATGCTGCGGAAGGAAGGACGATGGGATGCCCACCAGCTGCACACCCTCGATCTGCTGGTAGTACCTTGCAAACGCGAGTCTTGGTGAAACGAAACAACGGCTCTCTTGCTCCGGTTCGGGCATCGGATGTGAAGGCTTCCAGATGGGGGCTTTTTGCTTGTTTCGAGAGACCAATTGAGCCGCGGCTCGACATTTGTTGCACGGGGGCAAGGCCAGACGGGCAGTGCCAACTTGGTAAAGGACGTTTGAGCCAGGCAGCTGCAGAAACCACCACAATGTACAGGACAAGTCTGACTGGCACATTGTGGCCACAAGGATGGAAGCGACTGAAGTTACCCTCCCACATGGATCTCCAGTTCCAGCGGCCTTCAGCTGGCGGCCTTCTCTCACCTCCTGGGGGGTCGTGTGAAAGCGCGTGGGGACACTGCTTTGGATTGAGCCCTCTGCGTGCAAAGATCGCATGTCTCCATAGTGATAAAGTAGGAATCTCCAAGCCCGCTAAACAAACCACCAAGCTGAATGCATTCGGCTTACTCCGGTCAGACAGGTCCTCTTCCGAGGCTTTGTCCGTTCGGGCGCCATGGCTCCGTTTAAGAAACAAACGGCAACATTGGCACCCGCATGTCTTTGTGACTGATATTTTTTGCCGCAAGTGCAGATGTAGCCAAAGAAGCCTGCCGCGAGTATGGAGCGAGTCTGAAGGCTGAAGACACCTTGAGAAGTGGCGAGACATCTATGTACCTATACATATATATATATACAGCTACATATACATGTAGATGCAGGTGTATATGTATACCTATGTATACATGTACATATACATGTATATGTGTATTTATATATAGATGCATCAAGCTCATGGAAGGCCAGGAACCTGCCCCCCGCCAGTCTGTCTTCCGCGGAATTGAACTGAATCGACTGCTCAGAGAAATAGAAACTGATGACATCGCACTGAGCGAGAGATATCGACTCCTTCCCCTACACGCACAAACATGCACACTCACACGCACACACACAGAGACACAAAACAAAACAACCGCAATCACCATCACCATCACTCGCATGTTCCGTTCACTTTGCTCGGCAGAAATATCCTCGAGGAGGATGCATAAAAATCCATGGCCTCAAGCGCACGGGCACAGGGTCCCTGCTGTTGTGCTTCGCCCAGCTGGCAGCGCATAACAGAGACTGTCCCAGCTCATCTGTTTGTGAAGGCTGAAAGGCAGCCAGCATCGGGCGCAGGTGCAGAGAATGCAGTATGTCCGGTGCACTTTCACAGCACTAACATTGAGCCTGCAGCAATTTGCTGCAGGACCGCAAGAGACACTCAAGAGACGCTTGTAAGCAGCGGCTTAAGCAGATGTCAACCCATGGATTTCTCTTAAGGGTAACAATGCGCCGAAGCTTCATAAATATGGACTTCTCATGGACTTTGCTCAAGATGCAGGGCGTCATTGCGTGCGCTGCCAAGCTCTTGCCATCACATTGCTCACAAGATAGCAAAGGCCAGGAACACTCCTAGGAAACCTTTTCTGGTAAACTCGAAACAAAAAACAAAAAAAAGCAGAACTTAAAATCCCCAAACACCCAGATGCCCAGAAAAGCACGAGCTGCAACGACGTAATGTACCTTCGTTAGACCTGTCCAAAAGCAGTGCATCTTAAATATCCGTTTGCATTGGCGACGCAGGTACAGCGCCCCATTCGACACCGGCACCAGGATAAGGTAAGGCTCAATCAATCTAAGGTCAGGTGATTGTGGACGGCAAGAACATTGCAGACTGCAGGCAGCTGAACCGAAGAGTCCACCATCCAACAAAGGCAATGGTGTTTGGCTCAGTGCACCTTCTTTCGCGTGAAGACTTTGCCACTTCGAACGTTCTCCTGAGCCACCTGGCAACCCAAAGGGATTCAACCACTGTGTTAGGGCAGTCACAATACAGGCTGGATGCTATACATCACAGATCATGCGCTCCGCCTTGTTCAGCTCCTGACACTTGAGCCAGGCCTGAACACGGTCGGCTCAGATGAAAGGCAAGCCAAGCTGGCCACAGGGGCCACAGGTGGTTCTACCAGATTATCCGAGTACGTCTCGCGTACTTGGTCACGGTCTTCGGCACGCAAGCATGTTCTTGTACCAATCACTTCCAGTTGCTGGCCTTGCCCATCAAGAAAACCTTGTCGATGAAGGGCACATACGCCCGGCGACCTCACCCGAAACTCGCCCAAACACCCTCTACGCCCACATCACGGCGAACCCTTCCAAGCCATTCAGGCTTTTCGCTGCAGCAGGTGCCGGTGTCAGAGAACAATTGTTAAATCTGAACTTCGATCAGCAAAAGTAGCAAAAGCTCGGCTACGAGGCAGACTTACCCAGGAAACTTGCACTGGTAGGGCCAAGTCTGAGGTTGTCATAGTCATTTTGTCGGATGCGATGCAGGATGTCACCTGGCAACAGGCTCACAACTGAAGTGTGATTGCTCTGTACTTGACACTGCGGCTATTTTCTTTGCATTTCGGTACAATTTCAGCAACCATGAAGCAATCAGGCCAGGAGAACCGTAAACATACAGCGCGGCCTGTGCCGAATCTTTGGCAGAAGCTGGAGGAACCCTACTTGTACTATTGCCGAGGTATAGCAAAAATGCATAAGTATGTATATGCATGTAGATAAACATATGTACATGCATGATATTGTCTTCATGTACATATGGGACCCCCCCTTGAATAACCCCCTTGTCTCGGATCACCGGGTCACCCAGCCATTACACGAGTAATCTTGACGAGCAAACCCAAACAGTCTTGACTCTGTTTATCGGCTGCTTCGCACGCTTCGGGACGTGCTTGCTGTTGGTGGTTTTCTGTTGTTTTTGGTGTTTTTGTGTTTTTGGTTGCTTTTTGTGTTTGGCTTTTTGTTCGTTCTTTTTGGTTCCGCTCTTTTGGCATTTTTGGTTTCTGTTAGGTTTATTGTTTTGCTTTTCAAAGCATGCAGAAAGGTCTAGAGCCCACGCAACAGCGTGTGAGCGCCGTGGCGTATGCGCACTGGCACAGCTTTGTTTGAATTAAGTCTTTTTGTGGAAAATTCATGTTGAAGACTTGCCTAGAAAAAACTCAATAAGAGAAACTGAAAACTCCAAAAACAATTATTGTTGTCCTCTTAATCGTCATGTCGCGTTGGGAGATTCAACATAGAGACTGATGCATGTTGCTTATCGTCCTGTGAGGTGCGTGTCCCAATAGCTGTCCTTCGTTACCCGGTGCTCAACTCTGAGCTAGCAAGCCCTACACGGCCGGACATGAATTCAGGTCTTGCTTATTCGCACGCTGCCCGAATATCTTTCTCCGCCCTACTGTCCACAAAACAACAATCTGCAGGTCGCTGGAAGTGGGGAGGGGGGTAGCACATGTGTATATATATATATATATTATTTTTTTATACACACATACATATCTGTAATGCAGTATCCGTATGACGTATAGAGTTGCATCTGAGCTACAAGCATCGCAGTGCCGCTCTTCCTCTCGGAGGGCATCTCCGGGGGCCCGGGCCATCACGCCAAGGCGGTTCACCTCCGAGAGGCCCACGATGCCGGCTTTGGCGTTCTCGTACTCCCTGGCAAAATGAAGGAGGAGCCGAGCCTCCCTGATGTTGAGGGTCGAGTCTAGGGGTTAGGTTTAGGGTTTAGGGTTTAGGGTTTAGGGTTTCAGGGTTCAGGGTTTAGGGTTTTGGGTTTTGGGTTTGGGGTTGTGGGTTTGGGGTCGTGTGTTTTCGAGCCCCATGAAGACCGCCAAGAGTGATGGCACCAGACCCTAACCCCTATGCCATACTGCTGCAGCTCAGAACCGCTCAGGCTGTCACTCTTCACACCTCTGCATCTGAAACTCCTCAGGCTAACAATAAATGCTGACCACAAAGGCCACATGACGATTTTGACAAAGTGGTCGACACTTTATGCGTGCATCCAAAGCTCCATGAAGTCTTTCCACTTCTGCTCCGGGTAGAGCAGACCCTCTGTCTGAGAGGCCTCAAGGACCTCGGACATCGAGCTGGATTTGATAGGGCTCACGCCGACATGTGGGGCAGGGCAGGGTGCTAAAAGTACCCACACCGCCAAAGAAAGCACTCATCTCCCACCACGTGCCTCATCCTCCGTGATGCCAAAGCGAGACAGATCCTGAGAGCGCAGGCCCGATACCTCCGTACATTGCTGATTGACCGGATCCAGTCCTCCAAAGGCACATAGATCCTGCCACGCCTCGCATCCTGGCACAACGGTAACGTACACGCACATGGGCATGAGCGGCCAGAGGCGAGACAGACACGGAGATCCAGAGACCGACAGACAAACAGGGACAGGACAGGCTGAGGACAGGAAAGCAGAGGCTAAGAGACGGAGAGCGAGGACAAGAGCAGGCAATGGTGCGTATGTCCGTTGCAAATGGCCTCGCCGATGTCTCGAAGAATGTTCCTGCCATGAATGCATGCGTCAGCAGCTCATCATGTCCAAGCCTCCTCGCACCAAAAGCCTGTACTAGGGGCACTCTGCTTGGCCGTGCCTGACAGTCCCCTACGAATCATCAAAATCTTCCACCCGGAAACAAGCCGTCAGGACGTCAGCTGGAAAGCGACACCAAGGGACATTGCTGCAGCAATCGTCTCTTCCTGGCTAGAAACAGCACCAGCGGCACTACGAACCCAATAGCTTCCACTGCAGTCCACCAGTTCACCCTTTCAAGACAATGTGGCCGCGTACTCTCCCCTCCTCATTTTGAGGCAGCGCGCCTGCAGCTCCTCTGTGAAGTTCTGCATGGGGTCAAAGCCGAGCCTTGCAGCCGGCCCCCAAGCTTCGAACGCGGAGCTTCCGATCATAACCCCAGCAGAACCACCGACGCGCTCACTCACGGTCAAGCTCAAGCTCCGATGCCCTGAACCCTAAACCCCTAAACTTCCTAAACTCTCCGAGGCACACTGGCAGAGTCATGATGCCCACGGTGCCAGCGACGCGGTAGCAGTACACCTTCGAGCTGCAGGTGCACGACCATCGTTCAGATCCCTCAAGCGATCCTCAAGCGCGGTGGACTCAACTGGGCCAACGTGCCTCCAACTCATAGAAAGTGGCATACCTGTCCTGAGGTGACCGAAACAAGCCGGTGCTAATGCAACTGGTCACAACCAAAAAAAGGCACAAAGAAGGCACAGAAAGTGTCCCCTAAACCCCTAGACCCTCAAACCACTAGTCCCTAAACCCTTTGGGGCCGTCCTTGACAAGATCCATGGCCATTCCGCCCACCCTCAGTCCACTGCTTCTGCAGCCCCAAGTGCATGTGTGTATATATATATATATGCATATACATCTATATTAAAAAAAAAATATATATATATATATACGTACATATGTATAATATGCAGTATGCAATATACAATTCCATCTTCAGCACCCAAGCTGCAAGCCTAAGCCCTAGGCATGTCTTGGAAAGGCCTCTGGATCAAAGAGAACCTCACGACGCTGCGGATGTGCTTCTAACTGTGCTACGTGCACGCCAGCCAGCACCAAGGTACAAGGGCCGCGCTTGCGAATGCTGTCCACCATCGCCAAGTCGGCTGGATCGCCATCTGCAGGCACCTTGTTGCAAGATCATAGCCACGACGGGTTGGCCTGCAGTCTGGAGGTATCAGGCCTGCAACTGGAAGATCCTGTTGAGTCTGTCTTCCCAGTCTTCGAGGTCCTGGGCACCGATGGGAAGGCGCAGATCAGATCGCAGCAGAAGCAAACATGAGCCAACACATGTCGGAGGAAAGTAGTCTTACAAGGGGAGCGCAGGGTCGAGGACCACCGTAAAGCTAGGGCCATGCGAAAGTCGTTGCTATCTACATCAGTGTCAACACTTGCATCGAAAGTCACGAATATGTTGAAAACCCAGCCACCGCTGCCTTGCAAGCACATCTCAAGCATCTAAATCTTGCTGTCAAGGATCGGCCATTGTGGTGTTTGCCGCTTCAGGCCCATCCTTGCATGGCATGACATGGCGATCGGGCGACCGGGCTGGAATGTCAAGTGCAAGCTCTAGTCTCTTGGCTTGGGAGCAAGATTGCAAGATGCTGCACGCTGATCCCTTAACCTTGTCTCATGCTCTGATGAAGAGGAAAGCCTGAGTTTCACGCAACCAACTCATCCGTGCTTCGGCACCAGTTGTAGATGGCCTGTGCGCCACCCGACACTTCATGAAGACAGAGGCCACAGGCTTCTTAAAGCATCTGAAGGCGCTGAATTTGAAATCATGGGCTTTCAGGGGCGTACCCAGACGACACGCTGCTCATCTTGGTCCAGGAGCTGCGAGCCAAGGTAAAACCTTGAGCATTCAGCCGACCCTCTTCGTGCCAGACCACTCTTGACCACGGTTGACTCCTTTGGCCCAAGCGTTTTCGAGTACTCTTTGGTCACATCCTGACCTCAGATTCCGTGGATCAGCTGCACCGGATTGCAAATGCAATATCCTCCTGGAGAGCATTCACAAAGACTGACACAAGCCCAAACCAGGCGGTCCACATTGCTTGTAGGCCTTTTCCAAAGGCTCGAAGAGCTCAGGCCTCTGCAGCACAAAAAGCTCTAAACCCTGGTTGTGGCGTCTTTGCCACTTTCTACCAAATGCCATGGAAGCAGGTAACCAGGTAGCCGATGCAGCACTATGCATTCGGAACCACTCGAGATTGAGTTGGGAACGCTGGCGAGAGCTTTCGCACGTCCTGGCACTGCGAGGAACCAGCACGGTCGAGCGAAGGGTGCCCCAAGAAGCTACACTCCCCACACCGCCTCAAAGTCCCAGAAGCCACACCCGGCCTCCTTTTGCGCTGTGAAAAGCATGCGGAGCTCTTTGGCAGTGGGCACCACCAATGCTTCCGGCTCAATCTGGGCGGGTCTGTCGGGTTTAGGGTTGCGCTCGGTTTTAGCAGCACATCGGTTTATGCCCAATGGATCTGGCTGAGATCGCCGAGGGCCGTGGACATTGCTGCCTAAAACCGGATCTACAAAATCTCTAGGACGTTGTTGTTTAGAGTCTTCATCTTCCGACCATCCTGGAAGGTTCTTAAGGGAGTGTTGGGGAACATTGGGTTGCTTATCCCTCCCGTAAGAAGCTTGCAACTAGTCCTGATGTCCCATGTTCAGGGTGCGACTCGCTGCGCAACGGTGCCTAGCAGCTTCTTCTCCTGCCAGCGGAATGGAGTCGTGAGATCCAGCCCGCTCACAAGACTGCACTTGGAAGCCCTTCAGAGCGCAACAAGAGAGCAACCGATCTCCGACTGCAGAGGGTCGAGGCTTCGGCCATGCTGACCATTCCCTTCACATCGACTTCCTTCCGGCCTGGCGGCTGCGTGCTGGCTACTGCCTTTGGCGGGGCCTTGAGGCCTCCATGTGGAAGTGCGGTTCTGGGATATTCTCCCCGGCCTTTGTTGTGACTTTGGGCTCGTCGATCTGTCCGCTTCCTCACCTCCATCAGAAGACCACCTGTGCCCACGGCGCCAAGCACAGAAACCTTGCAGATGAGAATCCCCAAACCCTAAACTCTGAACCCTAAACCTCTGCTCACTTCGCCCACTCGGAGCAAGAGAGGAGGCGGAACACACTACTACTGAGTGCCTGCCGTGTGGATGGTGGCCCCCGTGGTCATCTCCACCTTCCGTCCGGCGGGGGCCTGCCATGCGATTAGGGGAGGGTTTCGGGTTAGGGGTTGAGTGGTTTGGGGTTGAGGGCTTAGGGGCATTCAAGAACATCCAGGGTGGCATCTTCTCATGGCGCCCCAGCAGATATGGTTCACGTGTAAAAGAAAGAGATGGCGCACAGCCCTGCACATTAGAGGCCCGAAGCAACCCACCCAGGGTAAACGATCAACAGGCCCGCGGGCTTCCTATAGCAGCCTATTGGACAAGACGTCGTTGACTTGTTCCCAAAAGTTTAGCTTTGGATTTGTAGTTTCTATTGCGAAGGGGGCGCATCCTCCCCGAGCAAAAGTTCGGCCGGGGAACAGAAAGGAACAGAAATAGAACGGAACCGGACCGGAAGGGAAGAGAAGGTGATGCAATGTAGCATACTCGTCTGCAAGACTTTGCCATGTTGCTATGCCATCTCTGCCGGAAGGGCAAGGAATGCAATGCAGCTCGAAAGAGAATGCGACGCGGAACAGAACGAGGGAGTCAAAAAGAAGATCCGGTGTTGTAAAAGAGCACAATTTACTTGAATGCCTGCCATGTTTTGCAGCTGAATGCCACATGTCCAAAGACTTGTTGTTAGGTCGAACGGCTGGGGTTACTGCAAGGGCCTGTCGATCTCACTGTCTTGTCATGATGGCTTGCAAGAGGAGTGGACGAAGATGGAATATTTTCATGAGGATGTCGGAGGGCCGGCAGTTGGCCCCCCAGGGGCCAATGGGCCAGGTTGCCAAGACCCCCCCGTTGCCGCGATTGCACTGAGAAACCTTTGCCTCAGCAGGAGCAGGGTGCTTGCCTTGAAGTCGAAGCGCTGCAAAAGGGCGACCAGCACAGCCTGTCAAACTCCACGAGCTTGTTGCTTTGCCCACCCTAAGCGTAGCCAAACCGATGCACAGAGCTAGGTTCGTGCATCTTGCCTCCGCTTCGAGGAGTGCAAAGTTGTCTCCCACACATTTCCGCCTGGGCCGCCAAGGTACAGACTCCATGGGCTCAACTGAAAGAAGGGCAAAGCTCTTTCAGAGATTCAATCTGTGTCAGCTCTTCTTGAAGCATTGCTAGCTTTTCTTCCAAACCGGGTCGAGCTGTTCTGTCTTCACGGTTATAACTCAGAGCCTGTTAGGATTACTCGAGGCTCACTTGGCTGAGCTGGGTCTGCCGCGAGCCAGCACCAAAAGGCAAAAAGGCGTAGTCTGCAGCCTCAGGGTGCAAGCTCTCTTGCGTCCACAAGCGATACAAAATCTCAGGATCAAAGATTTGCGAAAGCAGAAGCCGTGAACCACCTTATATATATATATATATATATATAGATGTGCTACCATAAATAAACAAATATATATATATATATATATGCCGCTGGTATAATGCTGGGCTAGCGAACCCTCTCGTCTGGGTAGACGGTCCACTGGCACAGGGCAAGACGTGGAGCTCGAAATGTTGCCACTGCTGTTGGAATGGAAGTGCGGTACATCGGTCATCTTAATGTTGATGGATTCCAATCAAGATTCCAGTCAAAGATCCACGGCTCTGCCTTATCCGGTGAGTACCCCTGCCAAAGACCGTTGCCATTGATCTTCTCCTGCTGCCGCCACTTCTCAAGTTCTGCTTCAAGCTCAACCAGAGTGAATCTGTAGCGGCAAGGTCCTTCCATCGACGTGGATTGAAACAATTTGCATCCTGGCAGGTCTGGTTTTATGATGTCTTATGGATCGTCTTCACGCAGCCGTACTCGTAAAGCACTAGACCGTCCTTGCCCCACAAGGTCCGGGAGCGCTGAAGGGACCAAGTTGAGATGAAGATGTCCTGGCCGGACATGGCGTAGGTGTTGCTTGTGGATGAAGAACTAACATGCTGAGAGGACTTCCCGTCCAACATTTTTCACGCTCCCATCCCCACAACACGCAAAAAAACACGACAACGGCCAAGCCTGGCCGGGCAAGAAGGACACAGTCTCGGACTGCACGTCGTGGCATAGGGGGCCTCAAACCGACTCCCACCAACGTCAATGACAACCTATTTCATGAATGCGGATTGGACCCTAACCCCTAACCAAAGACCCCAATTGTAGGGGCCTATGGTTTATGGGCCCCAGGCCCACAGGCACGTCGTCTCCGGCGATGCAGCGTCGGATGAGCAGCGGGGGCTCTGGATACAACCTCCCAAAACTCATGAGTTCTTAGTCGGGAATTTTGGAATTCAACCCTTCTATTTCCCTTTTAAGGGATATAGGGGTCCGAATGTCCTATTTCCCAAACTAAGCACCACAAAGAAAGAAGCAATCCAGCAAATCCAGGCGGTGCACACGCTCTGGGCCTCAGAGCCTCAAGGAGACATGCGCGCAGTGCTGGCAGTTGCGTGAGCTCCTCGCCCACAAAGCGCCATGAAGCCGAGGGAAGGGCAACGAAATTACGCAACACACTCGTAACAGGATCGAACTAGCTTCGACTGAGCACGTGCGGGGCAGCCACGGTGTCCTCGAAAGTCGGATTTCGCCCCTGTAGGACAGTGTCAACCTGCTCCGGAATCTTCTCGAATTCCAAGTGTATGCCCAAAGACGACATTGCACAGTCTGTCTGCTGGCCTCATCCTGCACTTCCCGCAACAAGTCCGCGCTCTCCGGCTTTATCAGCTCAAACAGGGTCTGGGCATCCCATCCAACTCAACATGAAACATACAAGGAGACCTATACCGGGGGAAATCCACGTCTGATACGTCTGGAAAAAAGCCCTTTACCCCATAAATGTGGCCGTGCTGTCTTGTGCAGCACGGGGGGCTTCTGAACCCAACTTCTCAACTCCAACTCCAGTACACACAAGTTCGGCTCCCTGCCCAGGTCAACATGGCTGCAGTCGTCTCCTGGGCGGGATGAAGTCTTGGAAGACCTGGGGTCTCCTGGCCACCTCGAGCAAAGACCTTAGATTCCTCAGATAAACGGGGGAGTAGTATTGATTGAGCTTGTTGCCGACTGCGCACTGTTCCTTCAATGGAAGCTTGTTAAACGTTGTACATGCCATCATACGCCATGCTGAATAGCGTAAGCTGAAACGTTTCCGCACACAATAAGGTCTTTGTGTTTGAGCCGAGGCAATGAATTGCGGGGTGCTCTTGCCCAGTGGGGTGGTTAGAGACCTGCTGCAGTAATCGTAGTGCAGCTTCCTTCAGCAAAGCCTTACTGCATACGGCAAGTTGCATGGCCGGCAATGAGTAAAGTCATCAGGTCGTCCCGCAGCTGCCTGCAAGGGTCAAGACGAAGACAAAAAAGCCGCCCTCAAGGCTACAGAACTACAGAACCTCAGAAATCTCCGAAAAGCTGCCGCGCCCTTCCTGTGGGAAGATGTCCCAACACAAGGATACACAGAAAAAGACTTACCATATATGATGTGCTGTATAAATACTCGATATTACATTGCAATGTATAGAGCAATATTAATACATATCTTATTTTAGACCTGGCCATGCACACTACATGTAAAATACATATCTATATACATATATGTGTAAACAGAGATAGAATGAGTATGACATTATTGCTTTATAACGTTATGTTATACTATGTTATACGTTAGCAAGTGCATGTTATGTATATATACATATATTTGTTGATTTATGTCTATTTATTTATTTATCTAATGCATATCTTTATGTATTGATGTCTTTACTTATTTATTTGTATGTGTTGGTAATAGTATGTTTTTTGTGATATACTCAGCCCCATGGGCTTAGTCCGAAAACAACTCAGGCAACACGACACCAGCAAAGCACAAGCTTCTCCTTTTCCATGCTTCCTGCTCTTGCATCCTGGCTCCGCTTCTTTGGCAGGCAGTGAAAGGCACAAGCCTCCTAGCTGCTGGCGCAGGACAGCTAGCTGTGGTCTGTGCATTTGCTGGGTGGCAAGCAGATTTGCATCATGTCGAAGCCAGCAAACCCTTCACACATCACTGAGTTCGTAGTCCTGAACGAAGTCAAAAGAGAAGCAAGATGCTGCTGGCGGAGTTCTTGCTGACAAAGCCAAGAGCAGGACAGAGAACACTGCATAGGCACAGCCGTCCGTCAATGGCCTTGAACGGTACAGCTGGAGTTCGTTTGTGCGAGACGCCAGGTAGCTGCTCATGCGTTGAGCACGGTGCCCAGAAACCATGACGTAAGCAGGAAGCCACAAGCTTCTGCAAGCGACCGTAATGAAGGCCCGGACTTGTGCGGTTGAACTGGGAGCAGCCAGTCAAGACCTGAGTGCTGAGTGCAGTCGGGTTTTGGGTTTAGGGTTTCGGGGCGCTGCCCGCGTTCAGAAAAAGAGGTTCCAAGGCCGACGCCGCAGCGGCCACAAAGTTGCTGGGCCTGTTTTCACAGCCCAAATGCTTCAAAGGCGGGGCCCGAAGGGTTCCTTGAAAGCTGTATGGTCACTTCTCTGAATTGTGGTCCCTTTTGAGTTGTTATTTGAAGACGGCCCTAATATTCAGGGTATCCAAATTGAAAAAAAAAACATAATTTTTGGAACTGACCATATACACGGTACCTCTATCGCACGCGCTAGTTCTCAAGCTACGAAGGCATCAGACTTGGCAGATACCATCAGGGGCCCAGACATTGCTGAAAATGCCGAGGCTGTAGGGATTCCTGCACAAATGCGACTGAGCAAATCGATCCCTCTTTCTGATGCAAGCAAGGGTCCTTCCAGCGTAGGCAACCTCGATGGAGGTACGATTCACCGCCATCAACCTTGAAGGACTTTGCTTGGCCAAGTTGCAAGGGGATCCAGTGTGGAGTACAGAATGTTCTTACTCCTTGCGGCTAAGCCTTTCAAAGGCATTGCAAAAAAGGCCCCATGAACCTCTGACACCAAGCACGGCAACCAATGCTCGTGCGGGAAGGCACACGTCTAAGATCAACTACTAACCTGCACATGAAATCTACCAAGATGTCCACCACGTGCGACAGACAATTGCTTGATAACATGCGGCCAAAGCACCACAAGTGGGAGAAGAAGAGCAAAGACATTGCCAGACCTGGAATCATGTCCCCACAACATGCAACGCAACGAATCTGAGGGCATCTGCCACTGCAAGGCTTGGGATGCGGCACAATGATGCGCTCAAAACGGCACCCATGCTGAAGATCCCAAAACCTCACAGCCCAGCAGTCAGGGTGGAATACCCAGGAACACACACAAACACACAAACACACAAACACACAAACACACAAACACACAAACACACAAACACACACACACACACACACACACACACACACACACACCTTCGGACCTTGGGCCACGCTATTTTGACTTTGTTTAAGGTTTTCCATTGTGCCCGCCCGAGTGTGTGGCTCAGGTCAACTTGGGCCTGGACCACTGGCCCCCATCGAACCCCGTGTCGAGTATCCTCAGACAGGGTTTAGGGTTCAGGGTTCAGGGTTTAGGGGTTTAGGGCTGGGGGACTAGGGTCTAGGATTCTGGACACGGCTTCCGGAAAAGGCTAAAGGCTGTGGCTAGGCACGAGTACATGGGCAGGTCTCACTGGCAGTGGCAAAGCCAACACTTCAAGCCCAACATGATGGGAAGAGATAGCGACATACAGAGCGCTCTGGGCTTTTTGACTCGATGGTGGATTGAAGGTTGAGGTCTTACAGGGATCGGCTTGAGTGCACAGTCCAGCCACGCTTGCAACGTGAGCTGCTGAAGACGAATGGGCTCTGCTGTCTTCCACCCAACTATCTTCAACTCTCAGCTTGCCAAAACAACATGAAAAAAGACTCGGCTGAGTCGAGCACGGCTACGAGGAACAAACAAGGAGACGATGACGGGCTTGGCCGAAACGACCTGAGAAACTAACCAGAGACTGCACCTAAAGACTGTGGCCACGCGACACTAGGACCTGGCGAAGGTTAGCGCCGCGACCATCCCGTAACTCAACATGAGGATGAAGTATCTCAGCTTTTCGCACATGGCGTGTAGCAGTGCTCTCGCATACTCTCACTCTCACTATGCAGGACCTGTCTGTCAAACCAGATGCTTGCAGACACGCTCGGTTTCCAGCTTATGGTTTTTGGCACCAACACCTGCTGCTTACACAGTGGACACACAGCATCACTGTGACACCCCTGTGTTCCTTAAAACATACCGTAACGAGCCGTCAAGCAGTGCACGTTCATGTCAAGATTTTGGTACGCACGTTGTGTCGGGCTGGTGTTATGGGTATGGGATTCCAGCATGACCTTCCATGGTGTGAAAACTCGATACTGCACGGCACAACTGCATCTGAGCCGATGAGATCATGTGCTTAGAGAGCCACGCTACGCCACAGTGCAACCGGGCAGCAGTTGCCCACCCAGGGGCAGTGGTGGTCCTGTGAGCAAACTGTCCTACAAGACGAGAAGAAGCTGCAAGCAGACAGCTCGATTCAGGCCCGAACCATGCGCATGACGCATTTGCCACATATGCTGCAGTGATGCGCCCCTGGGCAGTGCGCCACAGTGTGAACCCACACAGTCTTCATATCAAGTGAACCTACATGTGGAAGAGCGCTGGTTGAGAAATAGGAGCTGTCTGCAGCAAGGAACCCGCTACCGAAATACTGATGCATTTCATCCGCCTCAGCTCAAGGCTCTCTGGCCGTCTCTCATTGCATTTGTGGCAATTGGTTGGTTTCCTGCCGCACTGTTGGATCTCTGTAACTTTCCCAGCCAACCAACCCATCTGGTGTCCTGGCAGTGCTCTTGCCACTTACACAAACGAGCCGGAGTCACCCCGGCTGCCATCCGAATAAGGAGTTGCCCGTGGCCTCCTGGTATGGCCGCACATGGACTGCAGTGCTTGCATCCAGCAAGCGGCATGAACGGACTGGTCCGGACAGCGCTCTTGCTGGTCCAGCCACCTCGGACCACGGATTCCAGCCGAACACCACACCCAGATTTCCCAAGAGAGCCCGGCCAGGAGGGAACAAAGCCCGGGTCGGAGAGGGCACAGCGCAGGAAAGACCACCTAGCCGGCAGGATCGGGCACAGGCTCTCAAAAGGGGGTGGTAGCCGCATGTGCAGGCTGCCGGAACTATTCCTGGGCTCCATGCAGCGCGAGCAACCAGGTCGCATTGAAGGCGAAAACACGGACCTCTGCTCGTGCAAGCGGCGCATGAGTTCCGTGGGCTTCCAGCTGTATGCTGTACAATGCTGCACGGCTTCATTCAAGTAACCCCCGACTTCTTGTGCAGAGTTGGCCCCATCGCCTCATGTTACATCACGCTGCGCTGAGCCCCGCGCAATGGCAACGAGCTGGGACTCTCCCTGCCACCGGCCCAGCCTCAATCGATTTGACAGGAGAACTACACGCCCTCGGTGCTGGAGTGAAAACTGCTTGGCAGCGTGCATCCCATCTACATACCCAAAGTTGATAGGGTGAAGACTGTGGTGTGGACATGACGTGAATGAACTTCGTGACCACGACAACTTCCAAGTTGAAAGAAGGACATGAGACATGAGAGACAAAGCATTGATTCATTGACTTAAGCTTCCAATCTTCCTTCTGTCCAGGAAGGCAAACTCCCACTGCAGCAGGCAAATTCTGGGATCTGCACTGGGCAAGGTTCAACCGTTCTATTCTGGAGCGGGCAGTGCATGTCCTGTGCCCCTGTAAGCTGACCAGAGACTGTCTCATTGGAGAGCCAATAAAATAAGTTGACAGGCACATAGCACTGTTCCAGCCTTCTACGAGCACACAAACCAAGTCGACGGAGTGCGGCCGGTATATAGGCAGGACAGACAATGACGTCCTCAACTCTTCTGGAGCACAAGCTCCCACTCACGGGCTGTGCATGTCCTGTGCCGCTTTCAGCTGACCAGAGACTGTCTCATTGGAGAGCGAATAAGTCGACAGGCACATAGAACTGTTCTAGCCTTCTACGAGCACACAAACCAAGTCGACGGAGTGCGGCCGGTATATAGGCAGGACAGACATGACGTCCTCAACTATTCTAGAGCACAAGCTCCCGCTCACGGGCTGTGCATGTCCTGTGCCGCTTTCAGCTGACCAGAGACTGTCTCATTGGAGAGCGAATAAGTCGACAGGCACATAGAACTGTTCCAGCCTTCTACGAGCACACAAACCAAGTCGACGGAGTGCGGCCGGTATATAGGCAGGACAGACAATGACGTCCTCAACTATTCTGGAGCACAAGCTCCCACTCACGGGCTGTGCATGTCCTGTGCCGCTGTCAGCTGACCAGAGACTGTCTCATTGGAGACCGAATAAGTCGACAGGCACATAGAACTGTTCCAGCCTTCTACGAGCACACAAACCAAGTCGACGGAGTGCGGCCGGTATATAGGCAGGACAGACAATGACGTCCTCAACTATTCTAGAGCACAAGCTCCCGCTCACGGGCTGTGAATGTCCTGTGCCGCTTTCAGCTGACCAGAGACTGTCTCATTGGAGAGCGAATAAGTCGACAGGCACATAGAACTGTTCCAGCCTTCTACGAGCACACAGACCAAGTCGACGGAGTGCGGCCGGTATATAGGCAGGACAGACAATGACGTCCTCAACTATTCTGGAGCACAAGCTCCCACTCACGCACTGTGCATGTCCTGTGCCCCTGTAAGCTGACCAGAGACTGTCTCATTGGAGAGCCAATAAAATAAGTTGACAGGCACATAGCACTGTTCCAGCCTTCTACGAGCACACAAACCAAGTCGACGGAGTGCGGCCGGTATATAGGCAGGACAGACAATGACGTCCTCAACTATTCTGGAGCACAAGCTCCCACTCACGGGCTGTGCATGTCCTGTGCCGCTTTCAGCTGACCAGAGACTGTCTCATTGGAGAGCGAATAAGTCGACAGGCACATAGAACTGTTCCAGCCTTCTACGAGCACACATGCGGCCGGTATATAGGCAGGACGGACAATGACATCCTCAACTATTCTGGAGCACAAGCTCCCACTCACGGGCTGTGCATGTCCTGTGCCGCTTTCAGCTGACCAGAGACTGTCTCATTGGAGACCGAATAAGTCGACAGGCACATAGAACTGTTCCAGCCTTCTACGAGCACACAAACCAAGTCGACGGAGTGCGGCCGGTATATAGGCAGGACAGACAATGACGTCCTCAACTATTCTAGAGCACAAGCTCCCGCTCACCGCTTTCAGCTGACCAGAGACTGTCTCATTGGAGAGCGAATAAGTCGACAGGCACATAGAACTGTTCCAGCCTTCTACGAGCACACAGACCAAGTCGACGGAGTGCGGCCGGTATATAGGCAGGACAGACAATGACGTCCTCAACTATTCTGGAGCACAAGCTCCCACTCACGGGCTGTGCATGTCCTGTGCCGCTTTCAGCTGACCAGAGACTGTCTCATTGGAGAGCCAATAAAATAAGTTGACAGGCACATAGAACTGTTCCAGCCTTCTACGAGCACACAAACCAAGTCGACGGAGTGCGGCCGGTATATAGGCAGGACAGACAATGACGTCCTCAACTATTCTGGAGCACAAGCTCCCACTCACGGGCTGTGCATGTCCTGTGCCGCTTTCAGCTGACCAGAGACTGTCTCATTGGAGAGCGAATAAGTCGACAGGCACATAGAACTGTTCCAGCCTTCTACGAGCACACATGCGGCCGGTATATAGGCAGGACGGACAATGACATCCTCAACTATTCTGGAGCACAAGCTCCCACTCACGGGCTGTGCATGTCCTGTGCCGCTTTCAGCTGACCAGAGACTGTCTCATTGGAGAGCCGATAGGTCGACAGGCACATAGCACTGTTTCAGCCTTCTACGAGCACACAAACCAAGTCGACGTAGTGCGGCCTGTATATAGACAGGACAGACAATGACATCCTCGATCGTTCTGTTCTGGAGCACAAAAGCGCGCACTCATGGGCAGTGCATGTCCTGTGCCCCTTTAAGCTGATCAGAGTGCCAATAAGTCGACAGGCGCATAGCACTGTTCCAGCCTTTTCTTCTTGCTTTTCGGGCGAGGGAGGGCTTGCGAGTTAATCTTCCACACCCATGGCTGACACTTTCAAAGCGTGGAAAAGACGTGCCACGGACAGTAAAATCTTGGGATGCATATCTCATGCATGATGCTCTAAGCAGTGTCTTCTGTTCCAAGACGGCTGCCCGCGAAGGACGAAGACGCAGTTGAACGCGTACCTCGGGCGATGAACTTGACGTGTCACAGTCTGGAGTAACATGGCCGCTGTCACAACTTGCAAGCTGCAATGGTACTTCGGGTGCGTCACACTGCTCATGTATGATCGAAGGCACCAGTAAAGCCACGCCAAAATGATGTAATATCGGCGCAGCCCCACTGTCTGTGAAACTTGACACCTAAAGAGAACCTTAAAAGCAAAATGTGCACAATACGAGATACACTCAGGATGTCTCAGGATGACTAAATCACCATCAGCACCACAATTCATGATCATCATAAGAAGAATCACAATAATTTTAATGATCCTAATAATCCGAATAATCAAGATAACCGTGCTAATCATTATAGTGATAACAACCAGAATAACCACAATTATAGTCACAATCGTCACGGCAATCATAATCACCATGTAAAAAACAAAAATCACAGTCACTGTCATCACAAGAATAACTATGCCAGCAACGCCTAGGCGAGAACGAGCAGGCTTCGAGAAAAATGCACGGATGGCAGCGGGCGCGCCGCGTGGGCGCGCCGCATGGCTTCATCAACCTACCCCGGCTTACTCTACACGTTGGCCGCCCTTTAGTGTTGACACACCGTTTGGCACGCATTGACATGATGTGGGGAAGAGTTCCGCCCAACTCTCCCTCATGGCAGGATTAAAAGAGAAGTCTTGCTGAGAACCCTGCCACTCAAAACCGAAGATGAACAGGATGAGCAGTACAGGAACAGTCGAGGCCTCAAGGCGAGAGAGCTTTGTGCAAATGGAAATCTTCAGTTTGCCGGCTGTCTCGTGGTGCAGCCCAGCGTTGCGGAAGGTCTTTAAGCTGAGCCCTCAGCCACTCGAATGAATGGATTCTTCGCCCACATGGCAAGCTCCCGGACGCAACTACAGGTTACACTTCGGAGGGGAGGGCTTGTCGTGCTTGCCACGGTTTGCAAAAGGTTGCCAGCCTTCAACTTATCTCGTCTTTTTGTGTCCTAGCCCTAATCGGGTGCATGCACCACGTGCACTGATCTATGACTGCTCATGTTAAGATGTCTGCAGAAGCCGGCTTCAGACATGAGACTCCAAAGCGAGAAGCCAAGTGAATTCGCAGTCTGAATGTTAAGCAATTTCAGTAGTATTGACCATGAATGATAAGAAGAGACACGATCTCGGAGTAGCATGGTCGCCTGGTGGTGACATCCTCGCCCTTGGTGACGACAAGAAACTGGAGGAAGGACAGCTTGTCATCCTCCTTTGGAGGGTCCTGGAAAAAGCATTCCAAGGCGTGCCAACCAGAACACACACAGACACACACATACAGGCTCAGAGTGTGGGATTGCATAGAAAGACGGACACATGCGCACGCATCCTCCAAGGCATTTCGGATAAGCTCATCCAGCACTGCGTTGACCAAGGCCTACGAACCCACTACGTGCTCTCGCAAAATGGCTTTGGCTGCACTGCACGCGCCACAAAGATCAACAAAGTGAAGAAGTCTCGCATTCTGACATTGATACTGGATCTGCTGGACGTGTATGCCCAGGAAATGCGACGAGAACAAGCTGACAAGCTTGCACAGCACTGCAAACACTCAATTCGTCGCACGGCATGCCATGATGCCATGGCGCACCAGATTCTCGCTGTGATCCTTCTGATCTCGGAACATGGCCTAGCAAGAGGACTGGAGGGATTCTTGGTCCTGTTGCAGTACCCTGGCAAAGCGCACCAAAAAAAAAACTCATAATTTCAGGCAACGCCTGAAGAGCTCCTGCTGCTCTGTTCCCAACTACTTGTAGCTGGGAGCCCCGGCAGAGGCACCAGGCAGATTCCAGTACGGGACAACCTCAGCAGGAAGCAGAAAGTTCCTCAACATGAATATGATTTGATAGGATATGATATGATATGCCATGATATGACATTATATGACATGATATGACATGAAATGATATGATATGATATGGTATGATATGATATGATATGATATGATATGATGATGTGCGTCATGAGTGGGTTTGCTTAGGCACAGAGTCCTTGAAACTTCTCACTTGAGAAGTTGGCTGAGCTTCTGGCCGACTGAGCGCGCCGCTCTGCCTCTCGCAGAAGATTGTACACCGCACGGATGAGCGGCGACTCATGCCTCGTCGCTTCCAATGTGGCAGGTTTGCATGGTGGGTCTCTGCGGGCTGGGCATTCTTGTGGGCATCAAATTAGAATCGGGTACATTCATGTTTGAAGCTCTTCACCTGGATACTAGTATTGCAGGAATTGGCAGCTGACAAGAGTGGTCTTCCGCAACTATGGGGTCTGGATGCGTAGAAACACGTCGTCGGACGGATGGATCACGACGAGTGCATCCCCTGACTTTCCCAAGTATCAGGCGTTGTGGAGCCAAAGTCGTAGTTGAAAATGGCCTGATGCAGTCTGCACTGCTCTAGAACATACTGATAGCGAAGATCTTCAGCGACGGCCGCGGCCAGTGGCAAGGACATGTACTCGATTTGCTACGAACCTAGCTGAAAAGGTGAAGATGTGAATTGGCGTAGCTCCCAGCAGTTCCGCGGAGCCTTGCCAATGATGTCCAGCGAGGCAGAGGTGAATTTCTCCTCCATGTTGACCTGCATCGACTCTGGGACTCTGGGTGTCTGCATCAAAACCCTCGCCACGTTGCCGTGTGATTTTGGGCACGAAGGCTGCCCTGACCGGCAGCAAAGCGGACTTCTCGGCTTAACACAGGTGCTGCCTCGGCCACCTTTGTGGAGGACATGGACACCGACCGCTCCAAGTCATCAGCAAGGTTGACCTGGCACGCCGCTGTTGATGTTGTGCTTGACTGCGGATTCCAAGCATTTTTGCACGGGCTTTCCGAATCTGAAGATTCCAGCGAAGATTGCGGGAGATTGCGGGGCAATAACCGCATCTGTGTTTTTAAGCACGGCATGGGCGCAGCACACTCTACCATCTGCTCAGTGGCATCCTCACAACACAGGCTCAGGTCAAGCAAGGAACTCAACGCAGAGGCTCTACAATCGTACAAGGCCGATCTCTCAAAATGTCCGTCAGCCACTTCTTGTGAAAGCCAGGCACGATGGCCCGGCGGCGCTTCCTCATGCCAACGCATGCCAACGCATGCAAGCGCATGCCAACACATGCCAACACATGCCAGCACTGAGGCTTCGAAGCAGTTGCTACACGGGCCTCCAGGTTTCGGGATCTGCGGGAATCAGCCCACGGCCTGCACCCCAAGCCACAGGCCGTGTACCCACAGCAGCAACAGGTGGGGCACCGGTCACGTTTAAGTCCAAGACCCATGATAGGCTCCAGCACTTCTGTGAGGATGCCTTTGGTGTAAAGCTCCTGCACACTTCTTGCACTGCACCACGCAACTCTCCAAGAGTTCTCCAAGACATCAAGCATCTGCGCAACGTGCTTTACAGCTCACCCCCACTCATATGTTTTCCTGCGCAAGTTACTCAATCTGGTTGTCTTTGACAAATGCCGCTTGAGCCGGAGAGCCTTCGACCAGGACATGAAGTACCAGGCAAGGTGGCAGACAGCGCTCCGTCAAAAGCGTCTGAACTGCGACGCTGCAGTCCACTTTGAACATCGAGGTGTCATCGCTGCCTTCGGGATAATACTCCAGGTAAACTGCAAGACGGTGCCAAACGTATTTACCCTGCGCGTCCCATTCCACGCATCGATCCTCCGGAAACATGAGCTGCAGCTGATCCTCTAAAGCACATCGCTCGTCGAAAGACGCCACAAAATCAGACTGATTGACCTCATCATACAGTAGGAGTAAAGGCCATTCGATTGCGGGGCTGCCTTCCGCATCCACCAGCTTTGGATGAGGAGTAATTCCACCGTTCGCCATGCGGTACATCGCCAAGTCAAAAAGTGCTGGGCCCAAACGAGAGCCGCGAAGCTCCAGCGCGTTACGTACAGCAGACGCACTGGCCTGCATTTCGTCCTTGACCCGGGCATCCTCCATACGCATCTCCTTTTGTGCCGTCTGCTGCTTCCGATGGAGCTCCTGCAGGTTTCGCTGCAGGCGCTGCACCTCCGAGAGCAGCGGTTTTGCCTCCGCCGAGCCGTCTTCAATGCGGAGCGCCCCACGGCAGAAGGCGAGGCCCTGCTCCGCCAGTCCAAGCGCCTCGGAGGCCTTGGCACCCCGGCTCCAGGCTTTCAGATTCTTTGCGTCCAGGCGCACGGCTGCACGGCAGTCATCCACCACCTTGAGATGCTCGCCGAGCTTTAGGCCCACTGCAGCCCTGTTGGCGTGCAGCACGGAATTCAGCTTGTCATCCTTGCACTCCATCTCCAGACCTCTCGTGTAGAAGGTTAAGGCGTTCTGAAGTGCAATCCTAGAGGCTTGAAACTTCATGGCTTCGTTTCCTTGCTTGCGGAAGTGCTCCGCTATTTCCTCCGGGGTTTGGTCGTCATACAGGACACTCTGCAGTGCTGTGAGGAGCGGGTAGTTCTCAATATCACGTGGATCAGATGGAACGTCTGTCATGAAAAGCGGATGATCCCGAATCTCGTTCATGGTCCAGACCCGATTGTCTATCCTGTAGCGTCCGAACTCATCTTCGCCCCACATGGCACCCTCATCATCAATAGTTATCTGCGTGTCCGCCGCGGCATCGCCACCTGGCGCATCTGCGCATGGCAAATTCGCCATGACTAGGTGTGCAACCTCGAACTTGCCTTCAACAGGAGTGGGCACAGTAGAAATGAGCACAGAAATCTAGCAACTCTGCAGGCTTATGAGTTGAATGCGGAATCACACGTGTAGCTGCTATTGCTGCCTGCTCTCAGGCAAACACACTGCAGAGCCGGAGAGGCAACATGCGTGGGGGCCCAAAGATAAGAATGTTTTATCTTGCAGCCACGGAAGCCCCCCTAGATCAACCCCCGTCCGGCGAACTTGTCAGGATGCGCTTCACAACCACCGGATCAGAGACGACAACCACCGACCGCGGGCCAATCACCTGGGCTATGGCTAAGGCTCACGCGGTCCAGTCGGGTCTCACAGGTGTGAACCCCCCATTGCTTCTCATATGTGTGACCTCCTCTCTGCTGTGAGTGTTCAACAAGAAAAGCAAACAAACAAACAAACAAACAGACAAACAGACAAACAGACAAGCGAGCAAGCAAGCAAGCAAGCAAGCAAGCAAGCAAGCCTAGCAAACAAACAAGCAAACAAACAAACAAACAAACAAACAAACAGACAAGCAAGCCAAGCAAACAAGCAAACAAGCAAACAAGCAAACAAGCAAACAAGCAAACAAGCAAACAAGCAAACAAGCAAACAAGCAAACAAGCAAACAAGAAAACAAGCAAACAAGCAAAAAAGCAAACAAGCAAACAAGCAAACAAGCAAACAAGCAAACAAACAAGACAAGCAAAGCAAAGCAAAGCAAAACCACAAAGCAAATCAAAACAAACAACAAAACAAAACAAACGACAGGTAGGAATCAGCACGGAACTACCCGCAAACCTGGAAACTTCACCCAGGGCTCGACACTTCCAAAGCAAGCGAGACGCGATTTTGTAGATGCCTTCACTCTCCCCGTAGCCTTCCAAGAACACTGGCATAGGCGCTCCAGTGATCCTGCAATCAAAATCAGAAATGAGGCCACACGCGGATGCACGGCTGCACAGACTGCAAACACTGCATGCATCCCCAAAGTACCTCACTGGACTGTTGCGCAAAGGGCGCAGTGTTGGCTTGAACCCCGGTGCAGGCAAGAGAACCCTGCTCTCTGAACAGGAATGCAGAGAACTTCCGGAGAACTGGTGAGATAAACAGGTAGCACCCTGAAGGCATTTATCAGTACCTGTTTTGCAAAACCCTTCAACCGTCAGCCCAGTACCAAAACACATCATGCAAAGAGAGATTGAAACTGTCTCGGCGTTTGCTTCCAGTAGCCATGGGTTTAGGGTTTAGGGTTTAGGGTTTAGGGTTTGGGGTTTAGGGTTTAGGGTTTAGGGTTTAGGGTTTAGGGTTTAGGGTTTAGGTTTTAGCGTTTAGGGTTTAGGGTTTAGGCAGTGGATCTACTGCATGCAACCTTCCGAGATGTGATCTAGAGAGCATGTTGTCACCGACTTGTCCTCTCCATTCGGCCCATGATCATATTCTGCATCAAATCTCCGGCTTGGCGCTGCCCTGGTGCTGAATGGGTTTAGGGTTCAGGGTTCAGGGTTCAGGGTTTAGGGTTTCGGGTTTAGGGCTTAGGGGTTATCCGTCCATGTCCGTGCCTAGCTCTGGATCCTGCTTCTGAAAGTCATCCAGGTTGTCACGAACAATGTTGATCCACCTGGGACAGCAGTGACCGGTGGCAGCACTGACAGCCAGGGTCAAGTCTTAAGAGGGTTCTAGTAGCAGCAGTATTCTCTGTATACCAGCCGATGCAGGAGCTCTTGACACTCCCTCGCAGCAAGCATGCCGTGACTTGAGGCCCGCGGCTTGTTCTGGACAGGAATGCCGTCGATGAGGTCGCCGTTGACGCCCATGGTCTGCAGAACCTCACGTGGAACGTGGACCGTGAACAGAACCCACAGCTCTGAGTCGGACAGAGGCCCACACGTTGATCAGAGTCAGCCATGGTCCGGCCAGCCCCACGTCTTTGCTGAACTGCGCAGGGGGACAAAGGTTGATTGTGCTGACGCGAGCAAGCAGAGAGGCCCCAACCCGAAAGTGCCAACTCTTTTCCGCGTGTCTGCGACTCGGGTCTTGTGATAGACGATTAAGGGATTTATTCTCCGTGATCAACCGAGACCCTACTACATCCTAAACCTTACACCCTCACGGCGAAGCTTTCCACGTCTGCCCAGCGATGACAAATGCTCGAAGGGCTTCGACGCGCCACACATGTAGTCGTTAAAGAAAGCAATTTCGGTGTCCCATGACACGAGGCTTGCAAACCGTGCTTTGCTTTACATATCTGAGCTGAAAGCATGCCTCTGGTCATGAGCGAATGCTGCATGTGGAAAGGCTGGTACTGAGGGCCTGCACTATCTTTCACTTGCTGGCTCTGCTCCGAAGTCGAGGTCAGAGGTGCCTCTCTGACAACTATTGGAAGTTAGCAGTCCAGGCCTTCTTCACATGCAAAGGTACGAGGCAGAAGGTATTCGCGGGAAAGCAGGTACCACAAAGAGTTGGTTTGCAATACGCAGGACCAGTTGCCCTTACGCTCACAGGGTTGCACCTGCCCGCAAATATCTGCCTGCGCATCCTTTGGCTAAAATGCAGCAATCCTCGTGGAAGTTGTGGCCATCAGCGTGGCCCCTACTGCACAGCCTAAAGTGTTCAAATGGAGAAAGCGAAAAGCCACATGTTGCATCACGTTCCCATAAAACTCTGCGAAGCTTTGCCCTTATTTCCGACAACGGTAATTCCAGGCACGTTGGCTTCTCAAGCTTCTGGAGAATCTGGGCCATACAGCCTCAAGCGATGGGTACAAGTGAAAAATTTAGCATACTTGCAAACAGTCATGTGATGAAGATGCTGTCCGGGAGGTTTCGATACCAGCCGGAGATTGCGTGACAAGCCACTCTCTACCCCAGATGTTCCATTGAGCCCCTGACTTGGTGTGCCACCCGTTTACTACTTTGGCGCAGTGGCTTGTGCTCAGAGCAGCGTAACTTCAAGGATTGGCACGGCCAAGGACCTGCATAACTTAAGGAGCCCCGAACCTTGGTGCCCTCGACCATGCCTTCAAGATTTCCATCCAGGAAACTGAGCAAAGCTGGGTTCTGTTGCCTGGTAACTTGCATGCTCTAGAACCAACAACATGCTATTGTGTTGCCTAGGCGGATTCGATTGGACTCCAAAAGTACAGCTTTTGCAACACTCACTCGCAGAATCGTCGCACTACTCTAGACCTGTCTGTTGGGACCGTGAAATCCGCCGCGAAACCCCTAAATGCAAGCTTACCAGGACAATATGCCAAGCAGGAGCTCGTCTCTCAAGCTCATGCTCAACGTTCCTTCAACGAGAATCAGCCTTTGTGCTGATGAACAAATGCACTCGGACATGCGAGCAAGAATTCAGAACCCAACCGCTCCGTCCGTGAAGTACCTGGTGGTCTTCAAGGCATTCAGGCGCTGCAAGTCCTGTGCAAGCACTATGGAACGCAACGAGTCGCAACGGCGCGATATGCCACGGCACATGCGCCGCATGCATCCCAGCAGCTGCCCAGCTCAGAGACTGTCATTGGCCTCTTCAAGCGGGGACGGCGCTTTGCTCGTCAAGATTTGACCACCCATCTCACGGCGCAGGCTGGTGGCTAGCCGTAGGCCCCTTGCACTTCGGAACCTAATGGAACCTACCTTGGGCTTGTCTTCCGTGTCTTTGCACTTAAGAACCGGTCTTGACCTTGTCTGCAGTGTCCCTGCCAACACCTACAGGATCAACTCTGACGCGGAACTACAGTAGTATGCAAATGGCCCGCCGCTGGCACCTCTTCATGAAAGCCACGCAAAGATGTCAAAACTGTGATCGACGGGCCACGCTCATCATGCACCGCCAGCGATCACCTGCACAACTTGACTTCGCGGGCTAGCGTTGGCTGCAAGAGACTGCTTCATGAGCGGTTCGCGAGACTCTGCAACAGGAGTTTGCAACGTCCATCCCGACAATCTCGGGTGCAACAGCTGTCTTGGCCAGGAGTGTGGCGGACAACAAAAAAAACTGATCGAGAAAACAAGCGGCTCAAAAACAAAATAGAGATCAAACAGCTTAACGTATGTCCTCTTGATGGCATAGGCTTCTTTCTAGAACAAGCTTGCAAGGCTTTAAAATAGATAAAACAGTGATAAAGTGGGGGGTTGGGGGGGACTACGACTACGACTGCGACCACGACTACGACTACGACTACGACGACGACATCTACCACATCTACCACTACCACTCTTTTGGACCCTGGAGACTGAGTCCTAAACGCACGCAACATCAAGCTGCTTTTCGGCACAGGCAGTCTTCTGCGCCAAGGTGAAACCATCAGCGACCGAAATCATAACCTTCCCAATTCCTCCAAGCGGGCACACGAGGTCCCGAGAACCGGTCAGCGTAACCCTCTGGCACAGGCGCTGTGACACCCAGCTGCTCTTCACGTGGAGTGAGTGCGCACCTGAGAGCATGAGTAAATCCGGGCACATTCTCCAAGTGCGCATAGTGCCCTGCATCTTCCACCACTTGCACACACACCAGCGGAGCTTGAGCTGTCGCTTGAGCCGCCGCTTGAACTGTCGGAGTCCTTTGCTCCATACACGCCTCGGCCACCTTGTTCCCGTGCCTAAAGTCCATCCAATCTTTCGTCCCGTAGATGAACTCAATGCGTGAAATCGGGAGTCTTGGCAGCCTGGGACTGAGGGGCTTCTTGCCCCAGGCTCCCGGATGTAGAAGTGCAGCAATGGCTCCATCCGCACTTGCCGGTCCCTCTCGCCATCCATGGTAGATGTAATCTGCAAGCGCTGCAACTACAGGATCGTCCGAGGGCGCTTCTTCGTCTGAGTCCCGTGGTCGAAGTCCACTCCACCGCCTGGCATTCCACTTGCAAATCCTGTACGCTCTCTTGTGGGGGAGGAGCCGCAAGGCTGTGAATGGAGTCCAGCCACGCCGCCAAAGCTCTATGACGAGGCGAACCCTTCTTGAGGCCTGTCTAAGCTTCGCGTGGTAATCGTCTGGCATACCGACCAACCCCGCTGGCGATAGCAACACAAGTGTTCTCACATGTGCTGGGTATGACTCTGCATACGTCGCAGCGACGTTGCCGCCGATGCTATGGCCAAGCAAGTCCATGTGCTCAAGGCCCCGAGCCTGTCGCCACGCCTCCAAGCTCTGCACAAACCATGCTTCTGCCTTTTCGACATCCGTTCCAGGCGTCCATCGTGGGTGGCTGGACAAGAAGAAGCCGAGCAAGTCTATGGCAATCAGGGGGCGCTTCAAGGAATCAACTGAGTCAACACTCAGGAGCTGGGCCCAGCATCGTCCAAAGATTGCTGCGCCTGTACCATATCCAGGGATGAACACAAGTGGCACATCCGTGGCTGCGTCTCCCAGAACTTCGACCGAATGGATGGTCACCTCTTGGCCGTCGTGAAGCTTAATCAGCGTGTCCTGCTGGTTGAATTCAATGTCAAGACTCTGCAGTAGTCGCACTTCTGCCTCCCTCAATGAAGGCAAATTTGGATGGGCGCCACGCGCACGAGAAGAGTTGCTTCCCATTTGCCTGCGGCCCTGTCTGAATTAAAGTGAGATCACCCTCACCCAGAGCAGTAGCATGGGAATTGCCTTCCAACCCATTTCGGGCCAGCAGCTTGTGCTATGCTCAAGACTGTGATTTGCGGATGCTTGATCCGAGTCAACCTCACACGACACCGCAACGCATGATCCTTGAAAGCTGTGCAGTCGACACATCCTTGGTCCCAACAGGCCTTTTCCTCATCGCTGCTGGCTGCCCTCCTCGGAAACACAGCGAAATTTTCTGAGCGCAGAAGCACTCCGAAGACCGACACCGACAACGCCGAGGAAGGCGTAGCTGCGAAGCCCAAGGCTGGTGCTTTTCCTCGTCGAGCGCGGCCTGCCAGACAGCACTTCGCACTTGTCGCATTTAAGCTACAAGTACGCTACGAAGTCTTGCACTGAAGGTCATATGCAGAATGCACAATGTGCACACAATATGCATAACGTCCACTACCTGGGAGTCTGAAGCCTTTCTTACTCCTTTCTTCTTTCACAGTGTGAAGTGTTGCACATGGAAGGACGGCTCTCACAGGCCTCCTTGGCGCCGAGGCACTTCTCTCTTCACAGGCTTCGGCCTTCTTTCTCTCTTTTTAACCTTGCGAGCAGGGTTGCGTGTTGAACATGCATTCCGAACAGCATCAGGCGCATGCCCAAGCGTGCTGCCTCTTGCCATTCCTCCTCAGCTTCCTCAGACTCCTCAGCCAGCTGAGCGAGATCTTTGACGTCTGATCTGCTCTTCTCCCTGTCGGAGTCTTCCTCCTCATCGTCATCGCTCCTTGATGAATACGCAAAAGGCATCAGCTGTCCGATGAATGCAACGCACTCCAAGTTCTCATATTGCACGTGAGGCAAGCTTCGGCAATAGCTGATCGTCATCTGAGTCCACATCTGCCCAGCCTTGCAAGCGCACACATGGGGTGGCAGCACACGCGTTTGAAAGCGCGCATGTCCTGAGAAGAGGGGGCTGTGCAAGCTACAGCGCTCCCCGGCAGACCCCCCCCTCACGCGCAAACACGTTGACAACATCTTCCAAAACAGCTTTGTGCTCACGAGACCTTTGGTGCTGGGGCTGTCGCGAGTCTTGGAGAAACTTCCGCGAGACACGTGCCTCTCTTCCTGCATGCCACGACATGCCCAGGGCGCACACCGCATGGGAACTGAAACACACAAACACCCAGAGAAAGCACAAACAAAGAAAACAGACAAAACAAACAAATAATATTGTTTTACCTCTAACATCACCACCCTCTCTGGCTGAGAGATACTCTGGGGTTGGGCACTCCGGGGACACCACTTCAAGGGGGGTTGGGCACTCGCGGGACACCAGAACTCTAGGGACACTCTGGGGTTGGGCAATCTAGGGACACTCTAGGGTTGGGCACTCCAGC